TCTCATGCCTTTTTGGGATGCTTAGATACAGCATGTGTGTACCACTCACCTTCACACTCTTGCAGTGTAGGGCCCCATTACAGCAGATTAGATAATTCTGTTTCTTGTGAGTATGTGTTGACAGAATCATCAAAGCTCCTTGCTCATGCTGACTATAGATAATATCATGCTAAAACACACACTTTGCTATAGTGTAGAGTTAGAGCAATACCAGCAGCCTGAATTTCTGTTGCACTGCAAATAACATAATGGAGGTGACTTGTGGCAAACTTTACTAGCTGCACTTAATAGTTTTTTTTGAATGTTCCTCTGGCAGAAATAAGTTGAACTGTGCCTCTTCAAAGAAGAGTATTTATGACAGCAGTCACAAGAGGAAAAATTCAGGCATGCTGGCAGTTTTGGGAAGTGAGGTTTAGCTGATCCTCGGAATGGAGGGCCTTGATGACTCAACCAGTTGTTTTAACAGGATGAAGCAGTATCAGCCTGCTTTATAAGCTTACCCCTTGATGGGGCAGCTATAGTCACAGCCAGTTGGCTCTGGCTAGGTCAGTTTACTAATCCTTCAGGGAAGGAACCAAGCTTATCATAAATTAGGAATTCTTTCCTTCTCTGCTCCTCCAAACAAGGCAGTGTAAGTTACACCAAAGTACAGACATAGCTGACAGTAAAGTGATTTTTCTGTTCTGTTAGAGAATAGTGGAATGGGAGAATGCTGCTGGAGATCCTGTGAGATAGGAGCAAAATTAATACTTACTGAGAAAATACTTCATTAGAGGAAATCCTGCTTCATTAACATCTTTATTTGAGATGGAAATGTTAAATCAAACAAATTCCATTGAAATGTCTCGCCTTGTGTGATTGGTAGCGATTCCAACTTCTGTATTAAGAGTTATTTGCTCCAGAAGTGTAAACTGTGAGGATCTGTTGATTTGTTATAAACTACTTTGGTTTGAGAAACTAATCGTAGCTAAATGAAGTAGAGTGAATTCTCTTCAACTCAAGCCGCATGTTGTGATTATAACTGATTCTGCCTTGACTCTTCTGTAGCTCTTTCTTGCAATAAAAAAAAAAAAAATCAGAGACTTGGAACAGTCTGTGCATATTCAACTAAGACAGGATTGTTCAGTCCCTTTTGTGGTTGGTACAAGTTGTTGGGTTTTGGGTTTGGTGGTAGGTTTTGGTTTTTTTAGTTCCCCCAAAAGCCTGTTCTAAACACTTGGAAAATAAGAGAACTTTGTAGGTAAAACTTGTTTCCCTCAGATAAGCATTTTGCTAAACTTTATTCCACTAATATGTTTAGTATGACCTCTGTTTTGATCTGAAATAGAACATTTTGTTTCCAGTGTAGAGACTGGGTTCTAATGAAGTAGAACTGAAGTGAAAGGTGGCTGCTGTTCTGGAAGTATGAACTAAATACTAGAACAAACTAAGATGCCTGGAGAAAGAAGAGCAGGTGGCTTGGGTGAGGAAGAGGGGAAGAGACTCTTGACACTCACACTGTCTGCTTTTTGTCCCAGCGTATCGGAGCAGAATCTGGATAGCACTTCACATGCAGGCCTGTGCTATTGCCATGTTGCATCTGCTTTGTGCTTCAGTTTTCAGTGTGGATGTCTGTCAGTGAACTGGTTTGGCCAAGATCACTCTATGGAATCTTGTGGGTCTGAGCTTTAGACAGCCTGGAAAGTGTAAATGTTCATACCTGCTTTTCCTGCCTACTCCCAGGTCCAAGGCATATCAGGTAGAACAGAGATCAGATATCCAGACCTTGTAAGAACATTAAGTACAGAAATCTAATAAAATAGGATTCCATAAAAATAACTGCTCTCCTAGGCAGGGATGTTCGTGGTGCTTGTACAGGTTTAGACTTCTTGATACAAACCCTTTGTAAAGGCTTTCATATACAGATTTTCTGTATGTGAAATGTTAGTTAAGGAAACCTATTTCCATGCAGTTATTACAACACCTAGTAGGTCAAGCTGGCTGTTTTTTAGGTGGCTTGCACTTGGTGCTGACCTAAAAGGTGATGCTGTCAGGAGTCACTTAGAGAAATGTCTTAAAACAACTCTGAATAACAATGTAGCTCAAATTAGGATATGCAAACCTGTTATTCATATTACAAACAAGATTAAAAACAAGCTGGAAGAGTGTCCTCAGCTTGCACAATAACTTACGTATACGATGAGGAAAGCTTCTGCTGACCTCCTCAGCTGCTAACATCTCCCCATGGCATAGTGTTGTGGTAGAGACTTTCTAGTGGATTTCCTGGAATCGTGTTCTATTCTTGTATGTAAAGTATCCTAGAGCTCTTAGTTCTGTTCAGAGTGCTGTTTTGTGACTAGTGAGCATATGACTGCTTGGAAGATACTTGGATGGAATGTTTTTATAGCTTTACTCATAAAGTTGACAAGTTAATGAACTTTCCTGCTGTCCATGCTAAACTTGACTACATTAATATGACTGGCACTTAGGATGACACTTGACTTGCCAAATTCTAGCAGCTGCATGCAGTAGACATTGAAAGCTCTGTAGGCTCCTTTGTAGGTGAGAGTGTGATTCATCTGACCTGTTTTTGACATTGCTTTGGGATGAGATGATCATAGTCTCAGAAACCACTTATCCTGATAAGGTCCCTATTGAATGCTGCTGAGGGTGACAGTCTCAAATACAGGCAGATATGTGTACCCACCATACACTTGTCTGACCCTTAAGAGTGGAAACATGCATCAGACACTGAGGAGAAAATGAAGATGGTGTTTCTGTTACGCTGGGTGTGATAGACCAATGTGGCCCTGAATGCTTCCTGGTGAGATACTGGCTTCCTTTTAGATGTGAACTTATGAATCAGACTTCTTCCAATCTTTTTAACTATTCCAGTTCTTCCCTTCCTCATATTACCCCCAGAATTCAGACATTGCTGGAAATGGTAGTGGTTTTGGTTTTTTTTTTTTTTGTTTCTGTTTTTTTTTTTGACAGACCTGTTCAACTCCACTTTAACTTGGGCGATGTAACTGTGCTGGACTGTGGTGTGATGGGATACACAGCATGCTTCAAGCAGGCTAGCCAAAGAAGGCTCTTCAGGAAACAGGATCTCTCAATTTCTACCAAAATTACATGACCAATACTAATTTGAATATACATTCTAAACTTACTGCTGAGCAGCTTAATTCTGGCAGCGTAACTCTTCCAGAGCTTTAAACAGTATTACAGAATGCAGAGGTTTTCATCAGTATGTTTTCTATTTCCAGTGTTTTATGGAAGCAGATTTGGACAGGATAGTAACTGGAACACCACCTCCAACTTCAGAGAGAAGACTTGGGGCTTAACAGGCCCAATGTACTCTGCTCTTTAGTTACTGGGTTCAGGCATTTGCTTACTGGCAAGCGAATGGGGAGGGAGCAGGGAAGGACCTTCCTTCTGCGTATGGTAAGTGTGGGATGTTGGAAAAGGACTGCTTTGAGTATGTGTAAACAGAAGGCTTTTATGGCATGAAGACTGCTGCAGAAAGCGAATGTCTCAAAATAGGTCATCCCCATTCTTGCTTGTCTTTCTGACTCTCAGGTAAAATGGTGCATGGGAACAGATCCTGGTCTAGGTAAACTGGGTTACTGGGTCAAATCAGTAGCTGGGTATCTGTGGTCTGCAAGAGAGAGCTGGCTTTGAGACCTTTATGTTGAAATCAGTGTCTAAAGGAGCATTGACAATGTCTGTCAGTGACCACTGCTGTGGGCTTAAGGGACTGTAAGAAGCAAGACAGTACCAAAGACCTTTCAAGCTTCTGGTTAGGGTGTTAACAGTCAGTTTTCAATTAAGTAGCTAACCTGAGCTTTCAATTGTCTGTCTTCAGGTATGCCACAACTCATGTGAACATGGAACTACAGAACTAACACAATCAAGAAACTATTTTTAGTTCATGCCTAGAATAATGTGACACCTTACTAGTTAAAGAATCCCAACCTCTAGTCAAGTTTCCCTGGTAACAACCACCTTAATCCACAGACCTCCAGTAGCAGTTTTAGGAGCTTCTGCCTCTCCCCTTTGGGCAAGTGCTGCAGTCCTCTTGTTTGCAGAGCTGAAGCAGCCATGTCTTCCATCCGTCCAAAACCTGCTTCACTATGCAAATCCTTGTAAAGGGTATGCAGGTATAGCTGAGGAGATGGCAAACGAAGCATGTTGATGCAGCAGTACACAAAGCTGTGTAGCACTGCATTGATGTAACTTCTGATAGCAACTTGCCAGGTAATGCTAACTGTTCAACCCTCCCTAGAAATCCTCTGTAGCGAGAGGAGAATCACATCTGTAAAAGCCTGTAGTGCTGCCCTTATCAATGGGGTGAGCATGGAGCACTGGAAATTAGTTGCCGGGCTACAGTGAAGAGTCTAATCTAAAGCTACTACTGAACTGGTTGATAGAATCCCTTCTTGAGGCAGGTTTGTTTTCACTGCTCCTGTCTCACTACAAAATAATTAGTGTCCTTCTGTGGCTAGAGGTGTTCTGTTCTAGTTGCTATCTAATTTGTCACTGCCAAGGCGGCTATTAGGAGTGTGTGCATATCTTGTGCTCTGTTTTGTCTGAACTTTTTGGATGAGCTTGTGGAGCAAGCCAGAACATGATGGAAGCAGATAATAAAGGGAGCTCTGGGAATACATCTGTACAGGGATATCATGTTACTTTATCATTATCTCAGCTCTAATCTAGAATCAGAGACTTACAGCCGGGTGTGCAGGCAGAAAGGGAGGTCTTGGAAATCATTACTGATCTCAGTTAAGTAACATAACTATGTGGAAGTCACAGATCGGGGTATGGAGGGGAAGAGTCTAGAATGAGGGATTCCAGTTTATGCAGTGGTTAGAAGCTCGTGGCTAAGCGCTGAGACTCTCATAAAGCAACCACGAAAAAAACCAAGCAAATGGAAAGCTCTGCTGCAGCCTGCTTTTTCTGGACACTGAGAGTTGGGTAGATAATTTCTCCAGAAGTCTTAGCTAGGACTTAGGATGTTCTGGTCTCTGGTTTTGTGCTGGGCTCAATCCACTGGCAGCACGCAACTCAGCCACTGTGTCAACTTATTGAAGAGACTGCTATTAAAAGTAACACAGAAGCTTATATTTTTGAAAGCTTTGTACTGTAATGTTGCTTAAAATACACTGAAGTGTTCCTATGCAGTGGCTGGGTGGGTGAAAAGTCAAGCTGAAAAGTTGAGATGCCGTACATAGCTGCTCCATGCGGCCATGGGACTCTTTCTGCTTAGTCATTTTGTTGACGCAGTTTTGCTTCTGGATTGGTGAAAGTTTCTTGGCTTACATAAAGGCAGTGAGTGTGGGAACATCAGTAGCTTGGTGTAAACTAAACACTGAAACTGGAAGCACAGTTTATGGTACTGCCTTGGCTCAAGTTTAAGGCAGTGGTAACTTAGTTCTGCTTTAGTAAGAGCTAAACTGCTGAAGGAGTGCTGTGTTGTGTTGGTAGCTCCTGTAAGAGGGTAGGTATAGGATATTAAAGGCTGTTTGGGACTTAAAGCTTTGTTAGATTATGGGCCTTTAGTCTTCTTCACCTCCCAAATCAGGTAATGGTTCAGGACTGGAATTAAAGGAACTGAATGTCTAATTTATAAGCAGCCAGAGGATTCTGTACCCAGTAAGTTGGTGCTTGGCAGCTGCCCAGCTTTGCACTGTTTTGGCTGTCAGCCTCTGCCTGAGGTGCGGAGGGCTCTACCTGAAACTGCTGCTAGACTAAATGCAAGATTGTTGTTTTTCTCTGGGAATAAAAATCTCTACTGCATTAAACTGTCAGAAACTCAGAAAATAATTTGCAAATACTAAGCCATAGAGTGTAATATACAATAGAAGCAAGTAAATTGCACTTAATTAGGCATGGGCAGGGTGGAAATGTGTTAATGTACTTTTTTCCGTGTAAAAAGTACAGCATATCTTTAGCTAAACAAGAAATCTCAAAGAAAATCAGGATTGAAGAAGTAAGTGGAGGGATCCAGTTCTTTATAGGTATCTGACTTCTCTGCTCTTCCTAGGATTTGTAGGCTTTGTAGAGGATCCTGCACCAAGAGCTTGTTGCACCTCTCCCTGCCTGGAGGAGGGAACTGAATCCTTTACTTTACAAAGTATATCCGTCATTTGTGTGTTTGCCTGGGAAATGCTCTGTTTGGGCTGTGAGTAGTTAACAGCTGTAGTTGGCGGGACCTGACAGACACAGAGAACAGTTGCCTGGTGTTCTTGAGCACAGTGTCGGTGTGCCAGAGGCTCCTTTGGTGCTGGGCAGCAGACCTAGGGGGCTGAGCACAATGCCGTGGGGGCAGCCCTCTTCATTTGGGATTTTGGTATATGGATTTCACTGCTGTATGAGTCTCAGCTTGTGAAGAGATAGGCAAGAGATAAGTGATGCTACTAGTTAACTTCTCTGATATGCGGCATTGGTTACATCCAGGGAAAAAACCTGAGCAAACCCTAGGCTTCAGTGTTTACAAGTTTTAATGAGTAGCAGCTTTTAGCTGTCCATGGTAAAGCAGCCAAGGATGATGTTTTTCATGTCCCAGTGCAAAACTTCCCCGAGATTCTCTTTTTTGTTTGCCAGCCAGCCATTAACTGATGTTAAGTTTAGCATAGATAATCTAGATGGAAAGCTCATTTTAATTTAATTCAGCATACCTTTAGTGGAGGAGGTGCCTGAACTTATATCCCTTGTTTTACCTCAAAGTATTCTTGTAGGCAGTAGGTATTTGAACTATGCTTCAGTGTTGCTACTGTGGAAGGAAAATGAGAACCTTCTACAAGGCAGAGACTGATGCCACCCTCCTGTAAAAGTAGTAACATCATAATTTGCCTTATAGGTAACATCCACTAGGCAGATTTTCATAGCTGCTGTAACAGAAGATTTTTGTCAATGGCTGTCCCTTTCATACAGTTTACAGATTGTCTGCATTACAAGAGTTGGCATCCAATGCTCTTATTCTTTCTCACAAGATCTCTTGCAATGTAGTGCTGCAAGATCTTAGGTATGAGTCAGAGTGTAAGAGCTGGCCTTCAGTGGGAACAAATACATAAAAAATGGTTCAAAGGACTTGAAGATAAAAAAAGTTATTGGAGGCTGAAACAGATGTAAAAGGAAATTGAAATAGCACGGATCAAGAAACAGAGAAGAAAATGGTGTGTGTTGGACTCAAAAATAGTGTGGTATATTTAGATAGGGAGAAGTATGCTGATTTTTTTTTCAGTCAACTTCTGGTAGGCTTTTTACATTCTTATCAGTGGGAAGTGATAACTGGGAAGCAATAAGGAAGCTAAATGTGAGCAGCTTCAGTGTGCACAGAACTCCGCATAAACCCTTTTCTCCCTGTGGAACACAGAAATGAGGGAACGTGTTTTGGAGGCTTAAATTCAAGTTTGAATGTATTAAGGTGAGATATTCAAATCTGATATCCGTACTCTTCTGGTTGACTTCTGTAGTTATGCTGGTTATTCTGTATTACAATGCTAATAAATAGCTAGAAGGATGTCTGAAGTATCCTGAACAGAGATGGCTTTTCTGCACAATTAATACAATATTTTAATCCTGTGTGAAAAAGGAGGTTGATTCAACTACTGATGTAGAGGAACTTTCAATGTCTGATGCTGGAGGAGTGTCTAGTAGGGGACTGGTGAAGGCCTTGCTCCGTGTGAGACATTTGACTGGTTTCTCTGCCCCTTTAACCTGAAACTAAATAGAACTGTTACTCAAACTCATGCAGCTGTTTCCACAATGTTTCATAGATGCCAGAGGCTGAAAACTTGTCTGCTTAGTGAGGTGTGGCCATGCTGTAGTTCTTGGTTTTGAAGCTTGCATCTTGCTTAAAGAGCCTGTGATGCTGTCTTTTGCCTCAAGCATTGTCTTGAGAAAGCATGATTTGGTTCAATAACTAAGCCTTTGTCCTGCAACTTGGAGAGTGAATGGTTGACCTCATGTGTTGACTAAACCCCTGCTGAGGAGCTTTTATGAAAACCCCTTCCAATATATTTATTACAGTTTTAGCATTGAATCACTTGGTGGATGAATTTAAGTCTGAATTCTCAGTGGCCACACAAAGTCGTCCTTCCTGCTTTCTACCTCTTCAGGACCTTGGTCCTTCATATGAGCTGAGCACTTTATTTTCCCTGTGTAAGCTTTTACCCTTCTGTATAGGGCTTGAGTTGATTCTTCTTGCAGTTTTTTAACTGTGCTTTAAAGGGTCAAGACCTTAACTGGCAAACAGTGACTGGGCAAACCAATTTGGACTTAAAGGTAGCCTTTTACCATGAAGGTATGAGGTTCTTGCCAGGAGTTCTTCTGCGTATACCTGAGGGCATTTTAAGGATCTTTGAACTTCAGTCTGTTGCAGTGCCTAGAAATCGACATGGAATACAGCTATTGGGTTTGCAAAGAGGGAATATGGAGACTAACTGTACTGTGGAATATAATGAGGGCTGTACAATCTAAAGTAAGTGCAGTAGAAATTGTAAAGCAAAATTGAAAAAAATCCTAATTTAATCTGGAAATTACTGACCACTTGAAGGAATCACTTTTTCTTCCCTTCCCGTATCCTAAATAGCCAAGATCCATTAGGACTTTGTTTGTACTGTTGGAAATGCTGGATCAAGATTTTTGATTTGGCATCAGTATGGCATTTGCATTAGGTTTTGACCCAAAGGTGTTGAAGAATATTACACAGTTGAATTTTAGGCAGAACTCAAGGGCTTATTTCTGAATCTTATGCCTTTTCCTGAATCAGGCTGGACACAGAAACTCTACAGTAGAGTCTACACCTAGGTCTGACTTCTGCATAACTATTTCCAGATAGGCCTTCTATCTGGCAGTAACTATACGAAGTAGCCTGTAAACTTAGAATCCTGTATTGCTCACCACTAGTAGATAAAGCTGTGAAATAAAATAATAAGCTGTTACGCTGTTCAGGGTTTTTATCTTCAGTGTTCTCTTCTAGTAGTTCAGAATGTAGTAAATCATTATCTCCAGAATGCATTGGTCTCAAATGCTTTCAGATTCTCAAAAAAGGGAAGTGGGATGCTAGTTTTAAATAAAAAGATAGTGTGATTTTGTTTTTTCTGTTAACATTTTCTGGAGTTCAAAATAGACTTCAGTTTGATCTGGCTTCTGCAGGGTTCTTCCAAAGCAGTATGGCTTTTTTGTTAGTAGGAAATCTGTTTTTCGACTTGTACCCCCACCTGTTGGTATCTTGGAGACCATGTCCCACAGCTCTGAGTCACTTTGGCCCTTCTGCTCATGGTGTACTTGGATAGCTTCAGAATCAGGCTATGGGTCTCTGCTCTGGCAGCATGCTGTTGTGTGTGGTAGGGAGCTGAGGATACTCGCCCAGGCCATAAGTCCTTCAGTAGGTACCAAATTGCTGAAAATCATGTTTATTTTTGTCTTTTTTTTTTTGTCAAGTACAGAGGCATGATCAAAACCAGCAAATGCTTATCATAGACACCTAAAGTCACTCTTAAATTCTTTTTCCTACACAGAGCTCAACAAAAATCCAGTGGAAGGCTTTTCAGCGGGCTTAATAGATGACAATGATCTTTATCGATGGGAAGTCCTTATTATTGGTCCTCCAGATACACTATAGTAAGTACTGATACTTATACAGAAACTTAAGTGAACTTGGATTTACTAGTGCTAGTTTGGTCTGAGTGGGTAGAAGTTAATCTAAATCTTACACTGATGTAAGTTAGGTAATGCTGTTCTGTTGCTAGTAAAATACCTGTAAATAGCTACATTTGCTGTATAGGACTGCTTTGCTCCCCTGGGAAAAGGTAACACTGATCCCTTTGTGCTTGTGTAGAAATGAGATGGAATAGGCTATCCTGCTTCTGTTGCCTTATGTATTTAAGTAAGGCAGGTATAATCCAGTGATTTCAGTTATTGCTGTGAAGCTTCGGTTTACCTGATAGTACACTTCTAAACCATTCCAACTTCATGCTGGTGATTGCAGGAAACTGTTCAAGGGGGATGTAGTTGGGGGAACTGCATCAGACCATAGAATTAGCCTCAAGTCCTGTCAGTTTGAGATAGATTTTGCTATGTGACCTAGAGCACTTCTGTGCTGATCAAAGTTGAATTGTTAGCAAACCTTGCACAGCAGGCTTCAAAAACCTTCTCTCCTTATTCTAAGGACTGGTTCTTTAATTGGCATTTGAACACAAGACCTTAAGTTTTCTATGTTTTTATACTGTTGTACCTGAAGTGTACAGAAATTCAGAGTACCTGAATCATTCTGGCATATGCAGTGTCTTGGGTTTTCGTTTGGCTTAAACCCTCTCACCACCATGCCCCCCACCCCAAAAAATTAGCTAATTGAGAGAGCAGTTTCTTTATCATAGAGATTATACATGATCATCTACTCTAGCTCCTGGGAAAAGGTTTGGTGCCCGGAAGAGGTCAGTTGAAAGTGTAGCTCTTGAAGATGAGCTCTGTTCTCCTTCATTACACTGTTCCAGTGGTAAATTACTAATACAAAAAGCCTAGTGGCATTTACTTGAGGTCAGTTTTAGTTCCAACATGAAGCTGTATATCTCTGTCTGCAGATTTCTGAAGTACTTAAACACAGTAATTGAATTACTTTGCTTCTCAGCAAGCTCACTACATTATAACTCTCAAGTCTTGCCTGAGATGAATTCTTCAACTTCTGTTGACCTCTTTTGACCAGTCTTTAGTGGCTCTATTATATTCTCGTGGCCATTTTCTAAATACTGTCAGTAAAGAAATACTGCTTCAAATTGAACCTCTTACATTTTAAAAATTGCAATAGCTTTTTTTTTTTCCCACTTAAGGTGCTGAACTTGTTTTGAGGCTTTTTAGATAAGAAGCTGTCTTCTATTCCACTTCATAGTTGCTGTGTTTCAAGGTAGTATTATACAGCATCCTCCTCCCTGGTCTGTTTTATGGTGACAGAAATACGTATAATTGAACACAATCAGGTGGTTCAGAGTTCTCAAACTTCAGTTTGACTTTAGACTCTGACAGAGACCCCTTGTGATCAGGAATAGTGCTTAAAATGGCACAAATGTCAATTAACAGCTGTACTTCATGAACTGGTTTCTAATGTGTATTCAATTGAAGAGCTGTATTTATGTGTAGATGATGAGGGTTGACAGGGATGCCAGTGCAGCCCAATAGCTGGAGGATCTACTGCTTTGCAAAGGGAAAGAACTATTTCACTTTGAAAGGAAAATTAATTTGGGGCTATCATCAAATGTAGTCTAACTCTCCTTTGCCTTGACTAGTATGACAATTAGAATAGTGAATGTTTCTGGAATTCTAACCCTTCCCAGGATTAAAGTTTCTTTGGAGACTGCCTGCCTTTTCTAAAACTCGTGGAAAATTAATGCTGCAGGTTTAGATACCCTCAGCTGCTTTATTTTGAGAGCCAGGTTGTTTAGAGCTAATGCTCTCTGGGTTTGGGTGGTTTGGGGTTTTTTTGAGACACTTGCTAGAATTGCACATCTTTGGTTAATGGTGGTAAAAGGTGGTGTTTCCTCAGTAGCCTCTGGCCTTTGGATACTGGCTCCTTTACAATACAGGGGGGACAAACTGCACTGAACAACTTTGTCTTTCTTACACCAATTCTTTTGTCTGTGTGGCTACTGAGGAGTAGATCGTCTTATTGCACATCTTGTGCCACCTTCTTTGGATGTTATGTTCTAGTTTTTGTCATTTCAGCCTTTACAATTTCAAATTTCGTTATAACCTTCAATGACAGTAACAGGGCAAATGTTACGGTACTTCCATTGGCCAAGTGTTCCATTTGCAAAGCTTTCCATGGAATGTTAGCCCTTCACATTTTTCAAAAGGGACTATTCTGGGTACTGAAATGTAGCTATTTAAAATAAACCAAACAGCTGCCTTAGTTAAATACGTGCCTGTAAATCCATGTAAAAACTGGATGTCTCCTGTTTAGTATTGTTTTCCAGTTGAGTGGGCAGAACACTTCACTGTCATGTCCGAGTCCCTTTAGCTTAGTGTTGACAAGGTAGCATTGAAGTCTTTACAAAACAACGCTGTAAACACAACTATAAAGCTTTCTGTAACTTGTCACTGAGGCTTACTGCTGCAGATTGACATCAAGGAATTGGGACTGAGGTGTGTAAAGAAGGAAAACAAACAGGTATTTGCTGGGCTGTACTTGAGAAGGGAGTTACTGGCAGTAATTTTTTTTGCTGTACAATGTAATTCCAGCTGGTGAATTCCTTTGCAGTTTTTAATTTTCTTTTTGGTAATTTTTTTCTTTTTCCCCTCTGGAACATCCTCCCAGTTCTAAAAAAGATACAGTGTTGGGGAACTGACAGTATCTTGTGAAAGTTTCTTCTCAATCTAGAAACTCTCTGTATTGCATATGGCAGTGTTGGTACTGTTAATTACCAACATGACGTTAAGCTGTGTGAGGGGTAAACTCGGAGCTTTTACATCACTAAGTTCCAATCTTCAGCTTACAAGAAACTCTACTAAGATATTTTTGATTCCCCAGTGAAGGTGGTGTTTTCAAGGCTCATCTTACTTTTCCAAAAGACTATCCACTGAGGCCGCCAAAAATGAAATTCATCACGGAAATCTGGCATCCAAATGGTAAGAAATGTCAAAGTTTCAATTTCTTTTTTGCAATTAAGAGCTCAAATGTGATGAAGACAAATGGATACATTTCTGTTCATGTTAGAAATAGGAAACTACATTTACTTTGTCATCGTCATCATCACTTCATAAAGGAGTAATAACCATGACAGAGTTTTTAATAGTGCTGCTCCAAGAGGCTGCTCCTAAAGTATTTTCAGAAGCTCCTGTCAGTAGCTTCTTGCATTCTTGTTTAACTGTTCAGGGTTGGTGTTTTTTTTCCTAAGTGCAAAATTCTAGTCTGAGGAGAAATTTGCCTTCTATAGCTGTCTCTTTTGTTATACCTTCAAATATTTCAGCTTAGTGTGACGAGCTTGGCAGTTCAGTATAGAATGCCCAAGGTTGTCCTCCTCTGGTGAAGCATGAAAGGAGATAACAGCATCTTTCAGTCCCTCCAGTGAAGATTCTTCCTAATGCTTCATTCACTTATGGACTGCTGGACATAGATGGGAAGGTAAAATAGAATGGAGGAAGTTTTTTACTGGGGAAGAGGAATATCCTTCACTTCCTAAAGTCATTATTGAAGCTGTTTATGTTGAAAGCTGGGAGGAGTCCAGCGCAGTGCTCCCATCATAAGGGACAGAAGGAATATTTTGATGTTGTGCTAGTTTCAGTTCTGGAAATACCAGACTACTTGTAGGCAGTTTCTAATTCCAGCAGCTTAAACTATATTCCAGTACACTGCAGTAATATCCAGCTGATGCTGTTGCTGTGGAAAAAAAGTCCCTCTCTAGTCTGCTGAACAGAAAAAGCTTTAGTGGAAGCCTGTCTAAATAGTCTTGAAAGTCACAGTATGATGAGAATTAAGTTCTTCCTCCCCATGTGCCCTCTCTGCCAGAAGTCCAGGTGTAATAACAGACTTCCACCAAACCCTGTTTGTTACAGATGGAGTTCTGTAATAGTTAGTGACTTTCCTTTTTCATAGTGTCTTCACTAACATGCTTCCAGACAAGCTGGAGTGAAGACTAACAGTTCCATAACTGTCCTGAAGAAATGCCAGCGTGTTGTTCATTACTGAAATATGCCTTGTTCTGTTTTGTAGTTGACAAGAATGGTGATGTCTGCATTTCAATTCTTCATGAGCCTGGAGAAGACAAATATGGCTATGAAAAACCTGAGGAACGCTGGCTTCCCATTCACACAGTGGAAACTATAATGATTAGTGTTATTTCTATGCTGGCAGATCCCAATGGTGATTCTCCTGCTAATGTTGATGCAGCGGTAAGATTTTCCTTGATCTGCCGATTGTTTTCAGTGTAGAAACCTAAACTTGAAATGGAGTTTTGCTTCTAGCTTGACAAACAGTACAGTAACTTCTGGAAAAACCTCTTAGCACATGTTTTTGTTGGGAAAAGTAGTCATGTTGGGAAACACAGTTACTAGTTAGACCTGGGAAATCTCTTGGAGATTGCAAAGGAAAGCTGTCAGATTCCATAGGCAGTAGATTTTCTCCTATGCAATAATACTTCTATTTATAGTAAATAGCTTGTGCACAGAGACACTTAATGGATAAACTTCAGCTCCTTCACCCTTATGAAATTCAAGGAAGCTGGCTATAAAATCTTGGGGATATATATACACGTAGGTGTTACAACTGCCATTAAGTTTAGCTGTAGAAGTTAACATATTCTGGAACTTTTTTTTTAACATGTTATTAGTATAATGCACAAAAAAATGTGTTTTGGAAATGATATAACCTGTTAACAGATTACTGATTTGAATGGAAGAAGCAAATGTGGTGGGATCCCTCAGTATAATCATTTGCATCCACCTCTACAGGAGTCTTCCTGGGTTAAAGCAGCAGGATTGACTGTATATGTTTGTGCTTTGAGAATGCCCTTGAAAAGCCTGCCCAGGCATCTGGCTTTCAGCTCTGGAGGAAGTATTGTCCCAGGACAACATGGACTTTTTCTGCTGGCAAACCTGAGAGCACTGGAATGAGCAAGTTATTAATGAAATGCTAAAAGTACAATTAGGATTCCTCAGTTTACAAGCTCATGTATGTTGAATGTAACTGACCTAAGGCTGGAGAAAGCTTATACTTTTAGCTATGCCTGTCACCTTCCTAGTATCACAAGGCTTTTATATTTTTTTTTATCTTTGCCCCATTCTGTCAGCTACTTCAGGAATGAGGACTTTTGCCTCAGAGATACTAGATGGAAAACTCTGCATTTGTGTACCTAAACCTTAGGGTAAAGGTTTGCTTTAAAACAGCATTTTCTAGCCCCGTTTGAAAGAGCAAAAACTTAAATCCAAATCAGACAGTGAAGACAGTACTGAGGCATCATTTTGGACGCTAGGACCTATTTTTCTGACTGTGGTATTAGATGTTCCAAGTAACTTTGGAACTCGGTGTGCCGCTTGAGCAGCGTAGCATCTCCTTCTGGATTGTAGGTTGCCTCCTTTATATTAACCAGAGCATACTCAACAGTCTAATGAAGAATTCTGAGCTGCTATCAAGATGTCTTCTATCTGGTTTACTATGGGCAAGCTTACTGCAGCAACAGTATTTGGCAGTTACTAAAAGATACTTTGTCTGCTTTCATTAATGTCTGGTTTTAGGTGAGTCTAGAGATTAAAGTGTTACAGGTAGTTCACAGCATTATAGGAGCAGGGCATATACCTGCTTCCTGGAAAAATGAACTGTACATCTTGGAGTACTGTCTCTTGGAGTGGGGTTAAAATGAGGGATAGGAGCCTGAATAAACAAATATTGAGAAGCAGATAGAACAGTTGATCTAAAATGAGAGTTTTGGAGAGATTGCTGTAAAATAGGAAACTTTGCTGTTCAATTCTGAACCCTTGCTTCATAGAACTACAAATACAAAAAATGGGAACAAAGCCTAATAATTGAAGCTAGGAGGGCACAAATTCAATGCTTTTCTTGGCCCAAAGCCATGTTGTGTAAGCTGTCCCATGTCCCAGTCCAAGGAACAAAATTCTTGGTGGATGAATTGCTGAAAAAGAACAAATTAATCAGTGGCCTTATTTGTGTTTTCACTGGGAAGGTAAGACATGCTGGGCTTTCCAACGTGCTGACTGGCTACATGAGCTTGGGGGTGTGAACATTAGGATGTGTCAGTTATCCCAGTTCTCTCATTCGGATGTGCTACAACCTTCCCTCCGAGTAGGGGGGTGAAAAGCTGTTGTGTGCTCGGTTGCTTCAGGTCAAACAATGGGGACCCCTTTGCTCACCCTTGCAGTAAGAATATATTGCTTCTATCCAAACCTAAGAACTGTAGAACTTACTAAATGAAATAAGGTGTTCTTCATGTTTTCTCACCACTTCTTGCCTAACTGCAAGGCAGTACTCAACATGTCAGCGTTAGTCACGTTGTATGATGCTCCTGTGCTTTCATCTGAGCTTGTCATGAGGCTGGCCCAAAAACCTGAAAAAGGGCTGCACTTTTCCCTGTGGGTTTTCATGATCCTGTAGTGTGCACATCTCTGGATTCAGACTTGCCTCTTGCCTGTCTTCCTGTTCATCTCTATCACTGTTCTTCATCTGTGCCGTTCTGAAATCAGATCCCTGTCACAGACAACATCCTCAGAAGTGTGCTGAGAATTCTATTCAGGTTTTTCCCATGGAGCCAGTATCTTGCAGCCATATCTAACTAGGAGGTGTTTCCTTTCTAAGGACACTGCTGTGTCTCTTCTCAATACTGTGACTCCTGTATTTCTACGCGGGAGTGCCTGGCTAAATTGAGAGGGAGTTGCAACTGTCTTAATCTCAGTGTGACTCCACGGTAGCCATGTACCTTTTTTCATCACTGCAATTAAAGACACTTTATCTAACCCATTAACAACAGCTTGTGGTCTACAGGTTGAGTTTGCTGCTACTTGCAGACTGAAGTAAATAGATCTCAGCCTAGACATTGTGAAATATTGGTAGCCACCAGGTTAGCCTTGGAGAATGCCTAAAATACCGGGGGAAGGGCTGTTCACTCTCTTGTGGGGAGTTTGCATAGAAACCCAGAGCAAGCTTCCAAATGTCCTGGATGACACAGGTTTGCAGTGACTATCTCTGACTGTAAGCAAATTCAGGTGTTGCCTATGGCCCATGGCTGAAAATATATAAACACCTAAGCCTCTTCCTAGAACTTGTATGTTGTTACAGGCCTGGCAACTGAAAGCTGTCTATTCAATTGCAGAAAGAATGGAGAGAAGACAGAAATGGAGAATTTAAAAGAAAAGTTGCCCGCTGTGTAAGAAAAAGCCAAGAAACTGCTTTTGAGTGACACTTATTCAGCAGCTAGTAGCTTCACTTTTTTCAGGGTAAGTAACATTTCAAAGACAAGTCAGTTACTTGAGTTGAAGATTTCCTGCCCAAGTGTTGCTGAACTAATTTTTTTTCCCTTCAAAGGCAAAAAACCACCCAGACCTCTTTCTTCAGTCGCATGGTCTCAGTGGAGTTCTTCAGCTGTATGTGATATGAAATAAAGACTAAAAGAAATTTCAAGTGCAGGAACAGCCCCTTCTGCTGAGATTGGGGAACCTTTTTAGTTCTCTTGCATTTATGCTGTTCAGAAGTTGAAATTCTCTTTATCAGTATTTATCCTGCTTTGTTAATAGTTCCTAGGAATTACTGGAGCTGTAATAGAAGGGACTAATCATTTTGTCATGCTCATTATTGTGAAGAACACTTATTTGAATCTTAAAAGCATCCTGTCTTGCTATCTCAAGGTCATATATAAACCTGTGGAGTGTCTTGAAGATGTTGCTGGCATGTTGCATGGAAGGTTTTAAATCAAGACTTTGTTGAGGTTGTTAGGAACCATTCACAAAGGATTGTTTCAGGTATCTGGGAATTTTAACAGAAAGTCTGCTCGCACATCAGAAAGGATCAAGGTGAGGTATTTACCCATCAGTAGTATCAAGAAAGGTGATGTTCTTTTCATCAGCCCCAAAAGTTGTTTTATTGAGGAAGGTGTAGAAACAGCTTCAGAAAAACAGTCACATTATGCTTGAAGCTGAACTGTGGCATATCTGAGAGCCTGGACAAGTTTTAACCTGAGAGCTGACGTGAGAGCTGTGACCGAGAGCTGTACTTTCTGCCACCCTGTTAAAAATGAGCTTCTGACTCAAGGTACTTATTTGAGCAATCCCATCCTAATGTTAATGGGACCTTTTTCTTTACAATAAGCTCTTGCAGAAAGCTCTGTATTAAAACATGTCCTTTAAAATATCTGGCCTTTGGTCACTTTAACCTTGGTATGCTAAGGAAAAACTTCAAGTAGCTAATAATTTCCCACTCCTGCTTTTCAAAGTAAAACAGAGCTTCATGTTGAAGCTGCCTTTTCTTAAAGGTTGGATCGGCAAATAAACTATGCTGACCCATTGGCTGGAGAAGCCCCAAACCATATGTGCCAGTTAGCTTCAGCATACAGACTTGGGGGATGGCACTGCATCTATTTTAAAGGGTTTATGCTGTCTGAACAACTAGAACACCTTACTAAATGCTCCTGCTAGTGAGCGTTTCTTCACCAGGGTTGTACAGAAGATACTTCCTTTCTTGTGCTTTTGTAAGAATTGTGGGGGCTGGGGGAAGGCTCCATCTGTGACAGACTAGTACTGCAGTATCTCTTCTCTGCAGCAACACTGTAATTGAACAGAGATTTCTCCAGTGTAGAGAGAGCATGAAAAATGCTTAATAATGATCAAAAGAGTAAGCAAGAGAACTGAGTGTCTTGTACAGCTGCCTGTAACTAGAGTGTAAGAACTGTTAATGTGGCTGATAGGGTTTTTTTTTTCTGTCTTGGAGAAAGGGAGTTACTGTGAGTAACGCTCCAGCGTATCCTCAGCTGACCTCAGCTCTGTTGCTATGTTAAACTCGGCCGTGGTGAAACAATGCGCATGACAAATACTGAAGTAATTGGCTGTGTTGCTTTTTTGGAAGGCAAAAGCTTTTCAAAGTCCTGGTGACTCCTAAGTGATGGGGGATGAACTGGATGAGAAGGGGCTGTATAACTAGTTTCAAAACAGTACAGTCTGACTTGGTAGCTGTGATGTTAACTGCTTAATAAAGCACTGCTGTGCCATTTTCTACAGCACTCTGCTGTTGAAGCAGCATCCATCATTCACAGTAAGTGATGCACAGAGGTTTCAGTGGTAAATCTACAAGCATTTAGCCCCATGTGGAAATAATCAAGTGTTTGCACACCATGTGCTTGACAAGCAACACCAGTAAGAGGAGCCTGAAAGTCTGGTAGTTGAGCATGGATACACAGCATGCTGAGCTAACTAGAGTCTTTCTCAGGTGATTATGGATTTATGCATCTTCTCTTTAGAGGTATGTAAACTTCTTGAACAAGGAGTAATTATCTTCCTTGAGCCTGAAACACTATTAAACATCTTTTAAGATAATTGAGGGTGATGAGGGGTTTTAATACCTGTGATTTCTTTGTAGGTCTCCAATTGAGAAACATGGCACTGTTTTTTTTCCTGCACTCTACCCACCTATTGCTGGACTTCTGTTGTTACAAGTTGGCAAACACTGGCTGGAACTGGGCTGCAATAAAACATGCCAGTTATCAATGCTGACAAGAGCCTAACAAGTGCCAACACAAGATGATTACGCATTTTGAAATCTAATGAACTGCTTTAACCTTCAGGAAGAATTGTAAAGATGTGTACATAGCACAACATGATCCGGATAATATATATACTGTTCATGTACATCCACAAATACACATTGTACCAAATAATGCTGTCTGTAGTTAGGAATAGATTCGTGTAAATTCTAAAGATTTTAGCAGGTTTTTCTCTCCCTATTCATTGTTTCCTCTCAGTTTAAAAGACAAACCAACACCACCTTGTGAAGCATGTCAGACAAAAACTGATTAGGACAAAGTTGGGGTTTTGTGTTGTTTTTTTTTCCTCCCCCACTTTAATTTTCCTTTGACCCACTGAGGCTTAATTAAAATCTCTTGCTTATTCAAGTTTAGTATCTCTTTTTTTGGGGTTTGGTTTTTTTTTGTTTTTTTTTCCTGAGAAATGTGCTCACTTTTATTTCCCCCCTGTCAGAACTGAGAATTGTCCGAATTGAGCCCTGAAAGGATTTGCTATCAATTACTTGTGTCATCTTTATGATGACCTTTGTAGTCTCAAAGGTGCTTTTTTCTCCCCTTCTCACCCCCTTTTTAAACCTAGTTGCACATACTTCTTGACTTGGGTATAGCAATAAACTGGCCATGGAGCACCCTTGAGCAGCCTGCTGGATTTTTAACTTCCAAGGCACTTGAGCGCTTTTATTTGGAAGTTCAGTTGACTAAGTTAGTCCAAGGTAGGAATGAGCTGCTTTTTATGGGTGAATTCTTCTTTTTTGCCTTTTTCATTGCCTGTCTGTGGGGCGGGAGGTGCATATGGGAGGCTTGTTTTTTCTCAAGGTTGAGTTCAAGCATGCACATCTGTAGGCTTTTCAAGTAACTAACTACTTCTGGGTTTGGTATCAAAAATAGCTTCCCTCCTTTTCCCTTTTCTCTCTTCTGTGGCGCTTCATATTCTTTGCCTTCTACTTCAGAGTTTTCCTCACCTAATGTACAAAGAAAATTGCGATGTATATTTTCATGTAATTTGATTTTTTTGGAATTCTGTCACCTTCTGTAGTGAGTTCTTCCAAAATATAATTTTTTCCAATAACAATGTGTCAAACTGGCTGTCTTGCGTGTCTGAATAGGAAAGGTAACTGCAGTGGGAGCACAACTTACCTGACCATCTTCAACAACATAATGTCAGCAAACACTTTTGAATGTGACATTCTGTATTTCATCTTGGAGTAATTAAAAAGCAAACAAAAGTCACACCTTTCTTCCTATTGTAACTATATTTTACCCTTCAGTGAGCAAATACTCATCCATCCCAGAGTACCTGCTAATCGGAGTTCTCCAAGCCTACCTGAAATACCTTTCTACCAAAGAAACTCTGTAGATGAACTTGCAACTACTTGACTGTTCTCTGCTCTGTCACAGGTTTACTACAGCTTTTAACAGCACTGAATAACCCACTAATAAAACAAGAGTTACAGTGTTACAGTCAGCTTGTAAGAAGCCTTCAGCACTAATTTGTGAGCTGGTTGGACTTTATTTCAGGTTGCTGTGCAACATGAAATACTAAAAGGCTCTACACAGTACTGTATTACAGGTTTCTTGAGGGGTGGGCTGGGGTGGAAGGAGATGATGGTCACTAGAGGCAAGACAGCCATAGGGGATAAAAAAAAAAGCCATTTAGTAAGTATGAGATGACTTACAAGTAAAGGTATTCTTCCTACAGGCAGTGTAGATAAACACAGATGTGTTTAATGTTCACATTTATGTATAGGGTAACTAATTATCTTGAGAAATCCGTAGTTAAATTAGCTTTTAGTTGGATAGCCTGCTCGTGTAGGCAGGCAGCTGTGTGCAGTACTTCAGCGCTGTTAGTGCCCAGAGAGAATAGCTGGTGTTATTTCCTGCTGGAGTGCTTGTCTGAAACTGCTTGTGAGGATGTTTCTTTCCCACCAGCTGGCTCCCCCTTCTTCACTTATCTAAGAGTTTGGACTGTGTAGAATTCCCCTGGCACAGTGCCATTCTTTTCCTGAACAAAATACTGGGAAGAAGCTACTCTTCTCTTCCTAAACCTAGCAGTGGACTTCTTCCCACCAGGGCTGCCTGCCTTTGCCTTTCCCTTTCCGCAGTGTAGCTAGAGACTTGGCAGCAATTCAAGGTAACTAGAACTTGCTGCTCTCAGCAAGTTCAACAGTGTTCTCTGTTTTGTCTTCCTGAGTATCTCAACAGGCTCATCTGTAAACTTCACCAAATAGTTTAAAGCTTTATTTTTCTCATTTCTTGCCCAGATGGTTTGTGATTTCCATGACCCACATACCCCAAAGGAAGGAATGTTTCTGTGGGATACTGTTAAGATGTACAAGCTTGCAGGTATGGCTGATGCTGGATGTTTAAAGGAAGGAGTGAGCTGGGAGTCTGGTGCTAAACACCCACATTATAGAAAGCCTCTAGCAGGGAAAGGGCCTGTCTGACCTCTCTGTGAATGCAGTTGGCTTTTTGTTTGCTCTTGCCCCACACACGAAAGGCATCTGGCTGTGATGGTCACTGATGCAACCAGAAGTTTCTGCTTAGCCTCAAGTTAGGAACACCGCTGAAGAGATGTTGTACGTACATGTAAGACTAGAATACTTGTTGAACGGCAAGTTAACCAGCATTCTTACTCAGTTTCACTTGTACCAAGGTCTTGTATCAACTGCTTTACTTAGGCTGTCAGTGTACTGGGTCATCAATACTCTTTGTAGTTCCCTGGAGGCTTGTAATTATGGTTGAGTTTTTTGTGCTGTTTTTTCCTCTTACCACATTGTGGCCTGCTTTCCAGACAACACTGCATCACTGGGGGAGAAGGGAAAGCAAAGCGTGGAATTTTAATAAGCATCAAACAAGTATGGACATCCTAATTCCTTTTTTATATGTCTCCATGCTGCCCCTTGCACATCAGGGAAGACCTCTGTAAAAATGAGAAGGGCTGCTCAGCTGTCATGCTAAAGTTCTTTCCTGCTGTGATGCCTAGAAAATGCTGATTGAAACTAGATGCTCAATAAATGGAGAACATTTAATTCTGAAGTGATTATATGTGTATTTTGGTTTTTGGGGAGGCTGATGGGGGGGTGGATTTTTTTTGTGTCTGTCCCATCTGGTGCACTGCTCTTGGTACGGTGCCATCACAATGCAAACAGGAGCACCAAAGTCCTTGTAATGTCTGTGTATTTTCAGAAGCATGTAAAAGGGATTGCAAACCAAACCAGAAGGTGCTTGGATTTTAAACTAAGGTGGCAGTAAGGCAGCTTCCTGCATAGGCAAACCCTCAACAGATGAGATTGCCAATTTCCCACATGTAACACACAGTAGTAGTTTGCTGTCTGATCTCTGTTGTCACTCAGAAACTCAGCTAATCCTAAATGTGATCAGCAAGTAATAACTGTTGCCTCACAGTTCCTCCAGGTGATCGATAGCACCCATAATGCAGCGGTGCGTTAGCTATGTAGTCAAGTCATACACACTTGTCACCGAGCTGTGTCAAATGGGATGGGTTGTGCTTCATGATGCCTCCAGAAAACTGCAGTCTGGCTGCCCCAGGCCTAGCTGTGCTTTCACAGGAAACAAAGACGAGGCAAACAACTTCTCAAAGATGACTTAGTGGCAATGTCGGAAGAGAATTCTGTCTGTAAGGCAACGCTGTGCACGGTACGTGCAAACGTGTTTGAGATTTGATCTTTCAGGGAAACAAATGATGCTGTTGGATCAGTGTAGAATATTCTGGCATTTCAGTTGCACGCTGGCACCAAAGATGAGGAGCAATGCCCACAGTCGAGGGTCAGCTATGCAGTGCACATGGCTTGAGAACACGATCTTACTGTTACTTGGCCACTGCCTGTCTCCACATTCAACCACGTTTTACCCACTGGGCACAGATCCAGTTGACTCCGAAACAAAAGCAACACGCGCAGGAAACGAAGCAACGGCGATACAAGTTAATAGCTGCGCACTGAAGAGACCCCATCGGATCGAAACCCCACGTTCGTGCTTCCCATGGGCTTGTCTGGAAGAGGTCGAGCAGCGGAAGGCACACGTCGCGTTTGGGGTGTGCTGAGGCTGGTGCACGTCGGCAGGTTGAAGCGGTGTCTGGACGCTCTCCTCCAGCTCGTCCCGTCCCGTTCTGCCGCCATCCCGCTGCTCAACAGCCGCCGAGCGGCACCGGCAGGACCCCCGCGCTGCCCGGGGGCGGGGCCGGGGCCGGGGCCGGGCGGGAGCAGCCGCGGTATAAAAGCGGTGAGCCCCGGGTAAGGGGGTGTCGCGGTCGCGTTCAGTCTCGCGAGAGCTCTTGGCTCTGTGTGGCGGGACGGGCGGCGGCTCTCGCGAGAGCTGCGGCCCCGGACCCAACATGGCGGAAGGTGAGGGGGGGAGCCCCGGCCAGGGGCCGGGCGGGTACACGGTGAGCTCTGCCGGCCGGGATGGCTTCGCCGCCCGCAGGGAACTGGGGACAACTCCCCCCCGCCCCGTGCGGCTGCTGCTTCGCACCCTCGGTGCGACGGGTTCGGCCCTGCCCGCGGCGGGTGGGGTGGGGCAGGCCGCCCCCTGCATGAATGAGAAGCGGTGTGAGGTGGTCCTGCGGGCTGACCCACCTGGGGCAGGGCGGGCCTGGCGCTGCGCCTTTGTCCCATGGGGTAGCGGTGGCTCTGGGTTGTTGCGGGGACCCCGCCGGGACATCCCGCTGGCCGCTCCCCGCACTTGGGCAGTGGGGCGGGGTGATGCTGCTGGTTTGAGGGGCGCTCGGCGGGGTGAGGAGAGCCGAGGGGCAGCGGCTTTCCTCGGAACAGGGCGGAGGGACCGTGCTGCAGCTCCGGCCACCTGCTGGCGGGCGTCCTTTTGTCAAATTCGGGCTCCGGTGAGACCTGCAGAACTCCTAGGCTGCTTGCGGTTTGCTTGGAGGCTATCGGTGACACCGTTTCTAAACTAATTTCAGTGAGGTAATGGGATTTGAGAAAAACCCGCTTGGATTTGTGCAGTCCTACTCCTTTCTGCAAGACAGAAGCTTCCTCTTTTCCTCCCCGGAGGAAACTGAGTCGGCAAAATGAGCAGAAATGCCCCAAGTTACAAAGGAAACCAAGGCTCCATCTTCCAGTCTCAAAGCACAGACTTTGGCTCTCAATTCTCAGACAGTGGTAGAGTTTTAAAACCACTTGTGGAAAATTAACTAGGATGGAGCAGATGAGGAACTACAGGCACGCATCAGCTGAGAGGATGCTGCAGTCCAGCTGGTTTAATACATCCTTAGAGCAATTCTTAACGTTTCATGTGCTGAAATACCACTGTTTTGTATTTAGCAGAACAGCCTCTTGGGTTTGGTTTTAAGCCTTGGTAGCACAGTTCTGATGGGTATTAGATGTCAAAGTTGTCTTCAGGTGATGAAACTGTTACCACTGCAATCCTGAATGGTCTGGTCAGGGTCCTGCTCTGCAGAATGAGCCTGCATGTGATGCAAGTCCTGTTTCAGACATCTGTACTTAAAGGCTCTTCCCTAATTCAAGGAATTCTGTGATCTTTTGGCTAAAGAAAAGTGCTAGACCAGTGAGTGATCCTGCATGAGCAGTAGTAATAAACTGTAGTTGTAGCAATCTCCACTCAGTTCCTTATGATGTCTGGGAGGGGGGGCTCATTCTGTCCTTTCAAACAAAGTACCTGTCTGCAGCAACACTTACTACCTAGGTAAGAGCAGATGATATTGGAGAGTCAGCTGAGAAGTGAAGCTTTATTAGGGGAGGGAGCTGGTCAAGCTTGTGGTCATTGCTCAGAAGCTGAGGGGATCTTTCTTATGAAAGTGTTGTCTCTGTGTACAGAAGTGCTGAATTAGATTACTGCAATTACAATATAGCTAGAAGTTGATAGAACAGTTTATAAAGGCAAGAGCTGAGCTTGCCTTTGTAACTATTGGAGGAGTGTTGTACCAGCAGTAGCAGGATACTAGATTACATGCAGGGAGCACTGGGTTAACGTTTGAATCTAAAGCAGCAGGGTACTTTGCTGTAGTACTTCGGGGTGGTTGTCAAGTACAGATCAGGAGGGAATTGAGAGGGAATGAGAGGGAACAAGAAAGCTGTGACTTGTACAGGCTGGGGGAGATGAGGTCAGTGTGGAGCAGTGGAGGGTGGACCTGGCTTCAGGGGGAAAGGAAATATTTCAGAAAAATAGATTTCACTCACATGCGCTTCATAAATGTACAAAGATATCTCCATATTGCTTCAGTGACTGCTGCTGATGGGCAATGTCATGGATTCCACTAGACCCTCCCTCTAGTTGTTGGTACATGTTATCTGTCACCCCATTGCCTGTTGCCTCCCTACTTATCTCTTTCGATTAGGTATCTAGTTGCTTTAAAATACTTTGTGCCTTCTCTCACAAGAAAAGTAGCCTTTTCTGAAGTCCTCTTTGAAGTCTTTGATATGGAATATAAACTTCTTCTGGATGCTAGACTGTCTGCTGGAAAGCTGTTAACAAACACTGCTTTTCTTGTCCAGCCATGTGCCCTGTACCTGCAATGTGGGCTCAGAAGAGGAGTCACTTCGTGTGTGCCTCTCGTCTGAACCCGGGCATCCTCCTCACTGATACATGTGGATTGGATGTTTAGCCAGAGACTGACTGGTATCTCCTAGTGAGGCTGTCCTTTCAGGGTCTTGATGAAAGATCTTGATTAGATGTGTGTGTGCATGCAGGAGTTGTGCTGTATACTTGAGAGACAGTCAGGTGAATGGTTATACATAATGTGGACTGGTAATAATAGGCACTCCATGAAAACTATTGCCAGCTTGAAGATGCAGTGGTCATTCTGCATGGGTTTTTTAAAAGTGATGCTGCTTCTCCCCTCTTCCAAAATTGAGGACTATAAATAGTAAACCCGGAGTTGTGGTGCTGTTTGTTTAGAGGTGGTGCTTCTACCTGAGATTGATCAGGTTCCACTTTTAAAGCATTTCTTACTTTAAGCCACTCTTTAAATGAACAGTATGCAGGGAAAACCTGAGGTTTTGCTCTTTTGTAGTGGATGTTGATTGAGTGGACATTGAGGACTGTCTTGAATGTGCACTTGAAATGTGCTGTAAAATCAGATATTGTCTGCAAGTGTGCAGTAGTAGCTGCTACACAACTGCTGTGCATGTTGTCGTGTGGAATAGGAGAAACTCTTACCAGCTCTTCTAATGCTTAGAGTAAGCAAATACATAGCAGTCCCTCTTGCTGAGGTTGCAGGAGGTGGATGCTGTCAATCTGAAAACAAGATCTCTCAAAGCTTCAGCTCTTTGAGGTACTTTCACTGCTGGTAGTGATTGTCACTGCTGCTTCCAGGGATATCCAAGACAACTTGATTGTTGGTTATGCATCAAGCTTAAGCTTGAGGGTCTAGGATAGTTCTGCATTGCGTCCTGTTGACTGCAGAGTAATTTGGAGCCAGTGAGCTGACTTGGTAAAACGACAGCATTTGAGATGTTACCTTTTGGTGCTGATCCTTTATTCCCACCTTCACACTCACTGTTTGGCTGGCAGATGCAGTGTTTCTTTAATCTGATAAATGCCATGAGGCTCAGCAGGTGACTTCTTATTGTTAGCATTTGAATTTGTACAGCACCTAAAAATCTCACTGTGTGAACAGTGCTGGTGTTCACACATTAATTTTGGGCACAGTTCTCAGTGTCTTTCAGTGTTCACTCTTGGCTCCTGTCAAAGCCTTGCCCTTCCTTCTGTAACAGTAGGGCTTGCATTGTGCCACCCCTGCCACCTTCCTTATGAATCAGTTGGGAGGGAGCTGTTACTGAAGAGGCATGTCCTTCTGTTTCGAGGAACATGAAAACTGTGTTTTTAGATAGAAAAACCAGAGCAGAATTTTAAACTCTTTTTAAGGGGTGGAGTGATATTGGTAGCACAACTCTGAAATGATAGTATATCAACAGAATATGGGAAGTATCCCAAAGGAGATAATAACTATTAACTTTTAAAGAGTGAAATTAAATAAAGGCTGTTGAAGGAAGTACACTGCCAGGCCTGCTTAAATAGTATTAACTCAAGAGTAAAATAGGGTAAATTACCTTCTGTTTATCCATTATAGTAGTTGTTAAAAGACTAATAAGGGAGTGTTTGCTGTGGCAGTCTACAGAGGAAAGACTAAATGAGGCATTCTGTCTTCAGCTGAGCTGCAGCAGGATGCTCTGCACTGGGGACCTGTGTTGGGGCAAGGCCAAGGTCAGCTGTGCTGTTGAACTTCTCTACAAGGAGAAAACACTGGTTAACAGGTCTCAGTTCTCATTGTTTGTAGTGCTGGCATTTACTAAATATTTGAGGGAAAACTGTTAAACAGCGAATTCCTGGCTGGTGGGGAGTAACCTTGGAGGAGCTTTCACACTTAAAATCATTGGTTAACTTCCAATTTTTTCCTCCATGCCACCTCATTTTAGGACTGGTTTTGGATTTGTACCTTATTTGAAAAATCATCTTAATGATGAGGGAAATAATGAAGCACAGTGCCTGATAGCTACAGATAGTCTTTGCAGCTATCCATACATAAGTATTCATAAGTTGGACTGATTTTAAACACCTGTTTTGTCCCAGCAGTGATTAGAGTTTTCTAATCTCTGCATAGTGATGTGCACTGCCTCTGATGGGAGGAATGTGTGTGTGCTGCAGTAAGTAGTCTTACCTGTTTTTTCGACTGACTTTTAACATCCAGATTCTGGGGATAATCTGTTTTCTTTGGCCATTTCTTGACTTTCTCTTAGCTGACAGTGTGGGTGAGGAGTTCTGAACAGGTCAGTTAAGTACTCTGAGGGAGATGTGGTACATCAGCAACTGTTCTAATGCTCGCTTGTGGCTGATGCCTCAACTGTAAAGTTAAACAGTATCTTAACTAACTGAAAAAAATTATAAGAACTAGAGTTAGTCCTCTGCCACACAGTAGTTCCAACAGTCGTGGTCTCCCATGTTTTGAAAGCTTATGGCATTCCTGACTGGGCAGGATGCAGGGAATTTCTTTGTAAGTGGCTGTGTTCTGGTGATTTTTGATGTGTTTATGGCCAGCAGTGATATAAAATCAAAGGTTTAGTATTGGGGGTGGGATGATCAATTAATGTGGAAGAGGAGAGACTCTTCCTGGAGTGTTCCATGATTAAACTATGTGCATAATGTCCTTGTAGGGTTAAGTTACCCTCAAGATGTAAAAGAAGGGTGTGCATGTTTCAGCTTGTAGTAACACTGTGTGCTTCTGCAGAGGAGGTGGCCAAGCTGGAAAAGCACCTGATGCTTCTCCGCCAGGAGTATGTAAAGCTGCAGAAGAAGCTAGTTGATACAGAAAGGAAATGCAATCTCCTGGCTGCTGAGGCTAACCAAGACAATGCCAGTGACACCTTCATCAGTCGACTTCTTGCCATTGTAGCTGAACTCTATCAGCAGGAGCAGTACAGGTAAGAAATTCTTTCCTGGGGAAAAGAGCATTACAGAAGCCTTCAATGTTATAGACTGCAGTAGGTACTGTCTTAAACAAGGGAAATTCTTTCTCTACTGCTTGGTATGAATAGTGTCCTCGGTTGCTGTTGGAAGAGCTTGCCAAGATCAGGTAGCAGAATGAATCCAGTTCTCAAATCAAGAGCACCAAGTAGAATTTCATCTGAGCCTGACATTTGAGATGAGTTTAAAGAAAACTGACCATCTTCACCATCAACAGGAAAGCTTTCTTTGAACAGAGGTTACTTTAAACTGATCTATACCTAGTTGGTGGATTAATTACACAGTATATCTCCTACCAGCTGGAAAACCCTCTTTTCTTAAAAGGGCATGTCCTTGATAACAGTTCTATACTCCTACTGTGTGTAAAGAAGCCTGATCAAATTGGCTTATCTGGTTGTAGGATGTAACAGGTCTTAATGATACATGTGACTTAGTGGTATAAATAATACTGTATTTTTGAATTGCAACACAAAGTCAGATTTAATGGTTTCTTTTCCATAGGCACATTAAGGATCAGCTTCAGTACTCTAGATCCCTCAACCGAGCTAGTTCAGAGACTACAGTGACATCAGTTTCTTTGCTATTACTGAAAAAAATGTGACTACAGTAAAGGAGTTTGGTTGTGTAAGGGGAAAATGTATAGTTTTGATGAAAGTTTCTTTCCCCTAACAGCTCATGAGCCTGCCTGAGAAAATGTTCTGTGCCTGGTAAGAACTTACAGCATGCTGGGTAAAAGACTTCTTAGGCAGCATATGTCAGAAGAGTTGGTTCACTTTATTTTTTGTTCAGCTTTTGTGTTTTAAAGATACAGAACAGTGGTATAAAAGGACCTAGAAGTCATAAATTGAGAAAGGGAGCAAGTTCCAGTATGAATTTTGTTAAGAAACATCTCTCTGTTGTGCTGTTGTTCATAGTTGTGCTTGCATTTAGCAAGTGAGCTGGGAAAGTGCACCTACACAGTCAGAACTGTGGGACTTTAAACAGGGCAGGTACTTTCTAACTGCAGAGGGTAACCTGATGTTAAAGGGGTCAGGATGAAATCAGCGCTCTTGACAGATGGGCTTCTGGGAACTGGGGATTCTTGGAAGTCTGCCTTGTACTCAGACTACTGTCAAACATTGTTTGTTCTCTTGCTGGTCTTGCCTGAATCCATTGGTGCTCAGCTGATGGTATTAGAATGGACACTGCAACATATTTAACCTCAATATTGTTGGATTTTCCTACCTTCTACAGCAATTCCCTTGCAGTTTATTCTGAAATGTTTAAAAGGCACAAAAACCCACAAATGCTTTAAGTACTAATGATTGACACTAGAAGGATAAGAATTGTCATTTGACGACATATTTTGCTTAACCAAGTCAATGTGTTTTCATGTCTCAAACAGCTTGGACCTAAATGTGGATACTGAGACATAGGTACTGTGGGGATGCTGAATGTGTACATATCCAGGCAAAGTGCAAGTCTGTATTGTACATGTATATGCTTTTTTCTCTTATCAGTGATCTGAAGATAAAGGTTGGGGACAAGCACATCAGCGCTCACAAATTTGTCTTGGCAGCACGCAGTGACACGTGGAGTCTTGCCAACCTTGCCTCAACAGAGGAGCTGGATCTGTCAGGTCAGTCATTGCTTAGATGCTTCAGTTCTTTAGGATGCCTGTTGGGAAAAGGTTACTTATGTACCTTTCAGACTACTACTGTCCCCAAAATGTTGTGCTTAATCCATGAACGATGTTGCTCTGTCTCTGCAATATGGTGGTACTCTTATTATTTTGGTGCTAGTGCTAGTTAAATCAGTAGCCTACCTTCTCTCTCTTTAATTAACTGGGGTTGAGAATGGTGGCCTGTTTGTCTTTATTCTAGAGTCATTTAGACATAATGAAAACCCGATCTATATGAAGAGCTTGACTTCTTCCTTTCTAAGGACAGGGCTTTTGAGATAGTGTGCGTAATTTTCTCTAAAGTGTTGTGGAAGTGCCTTGCTTCTGGTTATCATAGTGGGAAAGGAGTACAAATACTGGTGTGTGGTTAAAGAGGTATTTACTTGGGCACCTTGATACCTTTGCAAAATGGGTGAGGAAGAGAAGTTTTCTACAAGACTGTCTTCAACAAGACAGTGTTTTGTTCTGCTGTAGCTGTTTCTTGTATGTACTTCAACTGGGCAGTGTTTCTGCACATTTAACCTCATGACAGGCTTTTCTGTACTTAACAGGATAGAAGAGTCTTATACAATTAATTTGTGAGCAATAAGACCAGATGTGAAGCTAAGCAGGTTTGCTGCCTGGCATGTTGAATATTAAGTATTGTTTTCACTTTCTGCACTTAACCTCATGAATCCTAAGTGCAGACAAACTGGAAAGAAGCAGGTCACAGCAAGGTAGTTTTATGAGACAGCATAGGCTTTCTTGCAGAAGGATTTATGGATCCTTGTGCAGCCACGGGAGAACAGATGCCAAGGAGCGCTGTGCTAACAGAAGATGATTACCAAAAAGCTCTTATGTTAATTCTTAGTTTGTTGCAAGCGGCAGTCCATAGCGCTTCTAGCTCCATGTTTAAGCCGATCTGTGAATCTCAGATGTAACTGCAGTCTCGCATGCTTAACAATGCAAACACTATTATAGAATGATGCTTAAAGTGCTTCATAAGTGCTAATAAATGATACTTTCACTGTGCAAAATGGATTTTTTTTTAGTAGAATTTGATAAATGGCACAAGGATTAGGTTATGAAGTAGCTGTAGCAAGCAACATGCTGTGCCCTAAAGATTATCATGGTTTTCTTAAGAGGTTCTCTTAACAACTTGCAAGCTATGATTATCTGAATCCTAACTTCAGAATACAGGCAGCATTTAAGATTGAGTGGGTTTAGAGTTCATGTAATCTGCAAAATTTTCCCCTCTTTAAGAAGTGCAGGAAGAGGTGAACACAGGCCCTCTTGTTGGGAGGGAGAAAATGAAGTTATCTCTGGCAAGGCAGAGCTACTATTACATCTAGTGGGTTTGCTGATCAAGTTTGACAAAAGATAAATTTGCCTTACTGAAATCTCTGGGGAAGGAGATGTGTTAGAATGGGTATTCCTATGTCTTTAAACATGTATGGTTTTGATTTTAAAACAAACAAAACCAGTTTAAGGGACTCGTGATACTTTTCTGAATGTATGATGTGTTTTGTTATAATTAGTCTGATCTGATGTTGTGGAGTAATTCTCATCTACACCCTTGTAAATAGGATTGTCACTATACTTCTGGTAAGTTTCCTGGCCACTGGGCTTGCGTGTCTTTGTGTCCTATGGTGTAGGCTTTTCTTGCTGTGTAAAAAAGCTTATGATGAGTGTTGCAAACTCTAAAATCTAACCAGCTTCTGACATTGACACTTCTGCATCTTTCCTAGAAATGGTTCCCAGCATTTCTGAGTAGTTTGTAGTCATTACCAAGGTGTAAGTACCTTTATTGGAATGCAGTAGTTCATAACACAAGTTATAATAGAAGAGGGAGGATTCTTAAATTGAAAAGGGCATTTGTGCTTGCCAAATACAGATGTGGATTGAGCCATACATGAGGGGCCAAAGACTTTAAAGGGGCACCGCTGGTCCCTAATTCTGCAATATTTGTGTAGCAGGTAGGAGATGTTGCAGGGCTCCCTGCATTCTGCACAGGGTTCCAATGGAAAAATGTTTTTCCTGCTTGGTGCCAGCATTGTTCTTAGTTTCAACTTCTGACCAGTTTTGACATTTTGATTGAACTAAAGTAGTACTGTTTCATCAAGACTGTCTCTTTTTCATGGTAGCTGTGACTTCAGCAGTCAGAGGAATAGCAACTACTTGAATAGGGGTTTATTGCTTGAGTGTTTTATTAATCCCTGTTGCTCCCTGTAGCAGATGCTGACCCAGAGGTAACCATGGCAATGCTGCGGTGGATCTACACAGATGAGCTGGAGCTAAGAGAAGATGATATCTTCTTGACAGAGCTTATGAAACTAGCAAATAAATTTCAGCTCCAGCTGCTTAGGGAAAGGTGGGTCTTGGTAAATACAGTGAATCTTCTTGAACTCTTCAGCCTTGTTTGACTGGAAAGAAGATGATAGCTGCTGGCAGTTGAATAAAATCCTGCTTTTTCAAAGTCTTGAGGTTTCAATAATACAGCATGACACTGAGCTTGTCATGGGAAGTGCAGCCTTGTGCTACAGTTAAACTGGAGCAGTTTTTCTCATGGCTTGTGTGTTTATTTTCTAGTTCCTCTCTCAGTCAAACTAATAACCCTCATTTGGCATTAAGAGGAAGCAGAGATCAGTATATTAGTAACAAGCTCTGGAGGGTTGCAGGAAAGGCATTGTTGAAGAGAATGCTAAGAAGAGTTAATGGCAAGTGGCTTGGAATAGTAAAATACTACAGGTGAAAAATAAACTTGAATAGCAGTTATGTGCATCTTGGTGGCAACCTTCTTCAAAAAGAAGGTTAACATAACAGTACAGTTCTTTGCCATTTTGAAGAGAGAATGACTGCAGCATTCTAGTAGGGTCTGTCTTGTTATCTTGAACATACGGAGTGTTCTGAATAACCACTTACAGTTAGTAAGAATCCTGAATGTACAAACTGAAACCTCAAGTTCTGTACAACTTCAGAGCCTTGAGTTTAGTCAAAGATAAAGTGCCCTTTCCTATAATAATACTTTGCCCAAGGGGTGTCTGGGCCTGTAGCAGTCCATGGCACTCATAATCTATGATGTATGATTCAACATGAGGGAAAGTAAATTGCTGTCAGGTCTTCTGAACAAAGTTGACATCTGTAAGGCCAATGCTAAAAGTGCCTTCAGGTTTTGTATGAGCCTAAAACTGTTTTCATGTAGTACTACTGAAACATTCCTCAGCTGTTGTCTGGTCATGGTAATCAAGTGGCAGGTCCATGTACAGTATGCTATTAGTAATTGCCTTTGTAGGTATTAAATCACTTAGGCTGGAAAAGGTGTTTAAGATTGTCAAGTCCAGCTGTTAACCTAGCACTGCCAAGTCTGTCATTTCCTTTTGTCCAGTCACTTCTTCCTTGGAAGAAGAGAGGGACTCCACCTTGTTACAACCTCCTTCCAGGTGGCTGTAGAGAGTGAGAAGGTCTCCTCTGAACCTCCTTTTCTGTAGGGTAAACAGCCCTAATTTCTTCAGCTGCTTTTCACAAGACTTGTGCTCCAGACCTTTCACCAGCTTTGTTGGTGTTCTTTGGACCTGCTCCAGCACCTCCATGTCTGTCTTGGAGAGAGGAGCCAAAAACTGAATACAGTATTTGAGGTGCTGAGTAGAGGGGACAATTACTGCCCTAGTCCAGCTGGCCACACTGTTGCTGATCCAAGCCAGGATGCTGTTGGCTGCCTTGGCCACCTGGGCATGCTGCTGTCTTCTGTTCACCCCCAGCCTATCAACGAGCACCCGTGGCCATGCTTTCTGATAAGACAGAGCCATCTGACAAGGAGCAGCAGCGACTCTGATAGGATTCTGCTCTTACAGAAGCTGTCTTACAAGGCTGCTGATCACAGTATGGTCATGCTGCTTAGCCTCCTACTAAACCAAGGTCAAGCCATTTTCTAGTAGTGTTTAGGATAAAAGTCCATAGTACCCTGTTACAGCATGGGAGAATGATTACAGTAAAGCTGTGTCCTGATAACTGAGTTCTGGATTTCCTATTTTGACAGATGTGAAAAAGGAGTTATGTCACTTGTTAATGTCAGGAACTGCATTCGTTTCTATCAGACTGCTGAGGAGCTAAATGCTGGCACTCTGCTCAACTATTGTGCTGAGATAATTGCCAGTCACTGGGTAAGTACTGTCAGGAGGAAAAGTGCTTACAGAGTATAGGAACTTAACCAGTAGAATTTTTCATAACTTGCTGTACTGTTACAGGAGTGGTTTTTGGTATGCTGGTATTCAAGCATTCCAGTTAGGATGGGGATTACTTGATTCCTGGTAATAGATCACTTTAGTCACTGAAAGTTATGCTGACCCTTGCAGGTTTGCAAGGAGCAACAGAGTTGGTAAAAAGCTGTCAAATCTACCTGTCTTTCCTTCTGTTGTGAGCCAAGGGGCTGCTTCTGAGGCAGGAGTGACTTTTCCCATCTGTCTTATTTATAATATATGCTTTTGATACCAGGTGTTGTTTGTCATGTATATTAGAAAAAAAGGGAAGAAAAAAGTCACTAACGGATCTTGAAACTAAAATGTAAGATGTAAAACTTCTGAGTGTTTCTTCCTAGTCTTAAAAGGGCTATCTTGGATTGTTCCTGCTGCTTGTGATGTTATCAAAATGGAGCTTTTAACTGAACTTGTTTTGTAAATGTCATAATTATTGTGCGGTACTTTGTTTCTAAAGAAAACAGGAGTATTACTTACCCTTTTTTATTGCTTCTAGGATGATTTACGTAAGGAAGACTTCAGCAGCATGAGTGCTCAATTATTGTATAAAATGTTCAAGTCCAAGACAGAATATCCTTTGCATAAGGCTATTAAAGTTGAGAGAGAAGATGTAGTCTTTTTGTATCTTATTGAAATGGATTCACAGGTACAGTGAGACTGACTTGACCTATCTTCTGGAATTTGGTGTTTCATATGACTAGTTTCTAACAGTCTGAATGTTGTTGTATTTTTGTGGCTAATTCCTATTGGCATGATTATTACTGCCATAGCTACTTCTGTGTTTGTTACGGGGGCTAGTAGTGAAGGCTCCCTAAAGACTTAATTCAGAAGTGAGTTATAACACGAGTTTTAATGCATCTTGCATGCAACAGATTATATCTAAAAAAATCCAGTAGCTGATGTTGTGATGCACATTGAAAGCTGACTGGTATAATGGTCAACTTAGCTGCTTCATGGCAGTTCAGTAAGCATCATTTCTTTGTACAAATGCTTTTCTGCTGTTGAATGTTTGAGGTAACATCTCTTTGTTCTGATCAGATGAACACTAGCAGGCAAATTGCCCCCTAGCAAGGGAAAAGGAAGAATTATTTAAGTATTATTCAGTTAGTCCTTTGCCTTAAATCCTAATTGGAGGCTGGGACTGTAGCAGTACTTAGCACCCTTAGGTGCTAATCCAGTTGGGACTTGAAGTCTCTTAAAGGAATGATTGAATAATTCTTCCTAGTATTATGTTGAGTAAGATATTTAGGTGGCATCTTTTAAGACCATAGTAGCCTTGCTTTGTGTGAGTTAAGGCTTGCAAACAGAACTTGGTTTCTCATTGAGCACCATCTTATGTGGTGATGCTACTGTGATGGTTTTCCTGTGTAAGATGCACTTACCTAAAGGCAACACAGCATTTTGCATTAGAGATGAAGGTCTGACATCATGGTAGTTGGGACAGCCTTTTAGAGTATTTTGTTGGGCTGGTGAACATACATCTAATTTCAGTTGACTGAACTTGTGTTGTAGCTTCCTGGGAAGCTCAATGAATTGGATCACAATGGAGATCTTGCTTTGGATCTGGCCCTTGCCCAGAGATTGGAGAGTATTGCAACTACACTGGTCAACTACAAGGCTGATGTAGATAGGGCAGACAAGAGTGGCTGGAGTCTATTACATAAAGCCATCCAAAGAGGTAAGTAAATAGTATATGAAGCCTTGTGTCTTGCAGTTGTTCCCAGTGTGGAATACATATTCCAAAGTCTAGTCCTGTGTTACTTTAGTAGTCATTGCAGTTAGAAAATTGTCAAGGGTGAACTTTGTCTTATTTCTTGCTTTGAACTTAAAACCAAACAAACAGTTATTTGGTATCTTGAAAGCCAGCCTGCTGGCTGGTGAATGAAACTGGCACTACATGACATCCAGAGCAATTTAGTAAAGTATGGTGTGCTAAAGGAAGAAATGTAGCGAGTGTTCCGATTTGACAACACAATGTCTTTCTGCTAAATGGTTGAATGAAGCATGACAGCCTAGTCACAAATCAAGATAATTCTGTGAAGCCTTTTTCTAGACCTGGGTTGAATGCAGCATATGCTTCTTTCTGATTAGAGTTAACAGTAAGGGTTCTTGCTACTGAACAGCTGTTTTAGGGGAGGGAAAATGACTGGAAGAAGTGGAGGAGCAGGTAGAGATGCTTCTATGTCAATTTGAATATCTTCAAAGCTCTAATGAATAGTAGTGTAGTTACTGGAGTCTGAATACAGCTACTTGATTATCTTGAGCTGTTCTCCACATTGAAATGGAGAATGCATCATCTTGGGAGAATTGGAGCACAGTAGGACCTGGTTGCCGCTACCACAGTACTCTGAAGGCTTTGGAGAAGCAGCATCTTGGGACTGTGGCCAAAGTCTGCTAAAAATCCATAGTGAACGCCTTGTGCTACTAGTTGCCTTCACTGGTACCTTTGGCAGATCTGTCTGTTCTGGAAAGCCAAGCACAGCAGGAACCTGAGCTGTGACCGGACCTCATAGGTGTTGTACTGCTACAAATGAAAAGCATAAGTTTTGTTTGTTTAGCAAGCTGTTTTGGACTGTTGGAAATAGTTTAAGTGGTGTGAGCTCGAAATACAGCTCCCAACTTCTTCCTTTAATCTCCTACGTATCTAAACAGGGTAATGCTGGTGTCTGATCCTGTGAATGAAACTGCAGCAGCAGTAGGAGACCTTCTAGGCATAGGTCAGTGTTGTGATTGCTGCAGCCCTCTGAAGCACCAGAGATGGCAGCAGGCTGCTCTTCATACTTAATACTAGTGTTTGTCCTCTAGTTCTAATGTCTGCTTTCAGTGTAAGCTAGAGCTCTGAGAATGAATGCTTGCTTTTCAGTAACCAAAGCTTCAGTGAATTAATCACTGTTAACAATCACATGTTCTGGAAATGGAGCTAAAGCAAGTTGTCTGAACTTGCCACATGATTCTCATTTCTTATCGGTGGAGAGTGGGGGAATGTCAGAAGTTGAATCCAGGAAATGGGATTTTGGTTTTTGCTAACAGAAATAATATAGCAACCTGTATTGTTTAAACAGGGGAACAGTCTTCTTTGTTCCCCAGTCTTGCATTCAGGACAAGCAACTTGCGAATATGTCTATGCAAAGTAATCTTTGGAGTAAGGGGAATTGGTATTATCCTGAAATGATTCTCTGCATCTGTGCTCCGTGCACTGAAGTGGTGATGAGTTCCGACTTCTAAGCTCTCTAGAGGGAGTTCTTAGATTGCTGTGCATGGTGCATCTGAACTGTTGAAGTCTTTATCCCATATATAATGAGGCCTAAACTCTCAGGAGCAAAGCTGTGTTATTGCTTGTTTGTGTAGCAAGACTGAACAGATGATGACTAACTTCAACTACACACTTATGACTGGTGCCCTGGAACAGTAACTTGATCAAAAGCTACTTGTATGTTTAGTCTCACAGTTAGTCCAGCTGTGCATTAAAGCAGCAATGGGTTTATTCTGATAGAGGGACTAGCAGACTCAGTATCACTGTAACAAGTAAACTGGTGTGTGAACATTAATCACGTGTGACCTCTGGGCAGACCACTTTTTCCAAGGGGTTGTTATGAAATATTTTAGCCCTGACTTTGCAGGGAAGTGCTCTTGAAGTTACCTATTGCTAAGGCATTCTAAGAGCAGACACTTGTATTGAAATAACTGTATGTTATGAAGGGAAATCACATGTATCCATTTTCTGCACTTGTAGAGGGGGTATATGAAGTATATATCCATAAATAACCTTGTTTTGTTTCACAAAAGGCGATAAATTTGCTGCAAACTTTCTCATTAAAAATGGTGCCCGTGTGAATGCTGCTACACTGGGAGACCAGGATACTCCTCTGCACCTTGTGGCCTCGTACAGCCCCAAGAAGCATTTGCCAGATGTCATGGCAGAGATGGCACAGATAGCAGAGTCCCTCCTACAGGCAGGAGCCAATCCAAATATGCAAGACAGCAAAGGAAGGTAAATACTGGGAGAAGTCTGCTACCAGTTAAACAGATCACATCGTAGTGATTAGATACAGCCTGCTACAGTTTGAAACCTGTGGGTAGCACTGAAAGCAGAAGGCTGTGCAAACTGCATGGTACCCTGTCATGACCAATTAAATGTAGCCAGCAGTAGAAAGCTAGGATGAGTTGATTGTGTTAGAACACATGGCACACAATTACTTTGCCCTTATTGTATCACTGAACAGTAAAGCAAGCTAACTGATATGACGAGTAGTATTTCTGTACTTCTCTTTGAAGCTGTCAAGTGACACTGAAATGATCTCAAAGAGCCAGCTTCTGCAGCATGTTTGTCTGGAGTGCTGGGCCTGTAAACTGCTTTACAGGTCAGGTTGGGCTGGCAAAGAAGTACATAGAACTTGTACTTAGGCCAATACACTGTCTCCTATACTTAGAATTTATCTCAATTCTGCATAGTATATGTCAATTCTAGTATATCTCAATTCTGGTAGGCCAAGCTCTTCTGCTTTTTCCTTGAAGGTTAGCTCTTATGTTAAAGAGTTGCTTCTACTAAATTAATTGGAATTATATCCCCTAAAAGGGTAGATTGCTCTTTCTTTCAAGATGTGCTTGTGCCCTTCTGAAATTGGAGACAAAAGTTAACCCCATAAATGTGTAGGGGCATGTTGGTGACCATGGACAAAATCTTAGTGTCTTGGTACTAATGTAACTGCGCTTTGCTCCAATTACAGGACCCCACTACATGTGTCAATTGTGGTCAGGAATGAACCTGTATTCAGTCAGCTTCTCCAGTGCAAGCAGTAAGTCTCACTTAAATGTAAAATACACTGAGGTTACTTTGTACAGTGAAGATACGCAGACTGGTTTAACAGCTCTTCTGTGCCTTTTTGCCATGCAAGAAGGGTAACAATAAGCTTGGGATGCGAAAGTGGAAAGGCTTTATATAATAAGATGCCTGATGCCAAGTAAGTTTGTGCCCTACTGTAAAGAGGAAATAATCTGCATCTCTGTTTCAAAGAGGGATTGGTGAAATAATTTAGCAATAACTTCATTTGTAATGCATTTAAAAGGAGTGATAAGACTCTTAAAATGTGTGAATATGTTCTCGAGTTCAGCTTGGGTTCTGCTTAAAGCTGATACAGGTGACTTCTTAGGGTGATGAAGTATATACATTTTATTCGGTTTCTTTGTACTTGAATATGCAGTTGTACACAGTTCACTCAAACATGAGAGGATTTGCAGGAGCCCAAATATACCAGGGCCATGCTTTCCTAGGAGCAATGAGCTTAAATGTGGTAGTTACTATAAGGTGTCTAGCTTGTTTCAGAGTTGTTGCAAACTGTCTGAAGTAACTGGAGCTACAGTAGGCTTCTTGGCAAGCAGAAGTTGTCACTGAGGTGTTAGATAAGCTAGTACAGCTGTTCAGACACTTGAAACTTAAGCTGCGCTGAGGAACCACTTTTTAAGGTATAAATTGGGGAACATTAATTCTTATTTTTAGACTAGACTTGGAGCTGAAGGATCATGAAGGAAGCACAGCTCTGTGGCTTGCAGTTCAGTATATCACTGTATCGTCTGATCAGTCTGTAAACCCTTTTGAGGATGCCCCTGTTGTAAATGGAACCTCATTTGATGAGAACAGTTTTGCAGCAAGGTTGATCCAGCGAGGCAGCAATACAGACGCTCCAGACACAGTAACAGGTAAAACAGAGGTTTGTATTTCTGTGTAGGTGGAAGGCTTGTAAGTTAATTGCTTAATGCTAACTGCACTCTGAGGAGCTGAGTGAGGTTTCAGCAGTACTTGCCTCATAACAAATGGTAGGTTGTAGTAGCTTACCCAGAGCTGGAACATAGACAGTCTGAAGCTGAGCTTGACATGCAGGAAGTGACAGAAAATCTGGACTCCTTGCCAGATCCTAATATCCTCTTTACAGTTTCAGAAGATGTAATTGCTGAATATAGTGCTTGTGACAGCCCAGCATTGCAAGGGGACTATTAGTAGGTAGGATTTTCCTTGTTGGCTTCAAATTTGATGTTCTGTGGTAGTAGGGAAGGTGTTAGGAAACTTGTTAGCATCAAAGTGTGGTTGGAATATCACTCCAAACAGTGTTTATGGTTTTTCTTTAGGAAACTGCTTGCTTCAGAGGGCAGCTGGTGCTGGCAACGAGGCAGCTTCTCTCTTCCTCGCCACGCATGGAGCAAAAGTCAATCACCAAAACAAACGGGTAAAAGCAGAAACTAATAGACTAGTCTGAGCTTCCTGATTTCCCTTCAGAACTAAGCAGAGATCTCTTACTGCTAACTAGCTTAAAGCAAGTTGGAATGCTTGCTGAGCCTTTTGCATATTTTCAGGTATTTACTAGTGATCAGACAGCTGTTGCACTCTCCTGGCACTGTTCTTGCAGCATCTCCAGTTGTTAACTGCTTTTAACAGTGCTTGTTGTAATAAAGTTCTATATATAGGTTAAGTCATGTTGCTTGAAAGTCCTAAGGAGCTTCAGCTGCCAGGATTTAAGCTCTTCACACCAGTTCTTGGGGGCATAGTGGTTTAAAAACTACTTCTCTTTATGTCTCAAGCTGTTAACCTAGTTGAAAATAATAAACCCTATTTATTAAAGGGAGAAACACCACTGCATACAGCCTGTAGGTATGGCCTAGCAAACTTGACAGCAGAACTTCTGCAACAAGGAGCCAATCCAAACATTCAGACAACAGAAGCAGTGCTTGGTCAGAAGGATGCCTCTTCTCCAACAGCAGAGAATGTTTATCTGCAAACTCCCCTTCACATGGCTATTGCTTACAATCACCCAGATGTGGTGTCTGTCATCCTGGAACAAAAAGGTGGGTTTTTCTCTGGTTCAGACTGTAGTGGTTCAGTTGTCAGGATGGCATCTAAACTGTTTTGACAAATTCCTTATAAAGAGTGTCTTCCTTTAAACATTAAGTAGAGCAATTAAGACTACCTGAACATATTCTTAAACTCAAATCATCTGCTTCTTAAGACTAGAAAATTAACTTGTCCATGAGTCTTTCTAAATTCTCCTCTGCATTTGGTTCAGGTAAGTGCTGGAATCAGAAACAGATAAAAGGGTATTTCTGTGGCAAGACTTCTGCCTCCCTCAGCTCTTTCAGGAAGAGGATTTTTGCACAGAATAATGCTAGTATCACAATAGAGTGGAGACTGGAGTATTGAAACACTAGCAGATGCCATTTTATTAAATGCAACTAGTTCAGCTTCTCCTTTCTAGCAGCAGGAAGGGAGTTTGACAACTGAAGCAAGGCCTACTTTGTCTCCTACCATAAGTGGGATTAAGAAGGGAGTAGGTGAACTGGGAAAAGCTTCATCCCAGGGAGCTGAGGAGGGATGCTGCCACCATCTTGCAGTGCAGCCTCCACTATTCACTCTGAGAGCTTTGTGTATGGCATATCACATGGTAATGAAGGTAGAAAGGGGGCAGGTTAAGCCTCTTAATAGAAATGTGAATGTTTTTTAGTAGTAGCATTAGTATTAGGCAGTAGTGGCAACAATATCTGAATCCTACCACATTTGGGAAATTGAAGATATCTTGCTTGGATCCTTCAAACTGATTGCTAAAGGGACAGCCTACTTCAAAATGTGACCTTGTTATTCCTGCAGCTTTCAGTGTGCAACTGCAGGTCAAGTACAAGAATGATCTAATTCCTTTATGCTTTTGTTTTGTTTTTTGTAGCTAATGCTCTTCATGCTACCAACAACTTGCAAATTATTCCTGACTTTAGTTTAAAGGACTCGAGAGACCAGACTGTGCTGGGGTTGGCTCTTTGGACAGGTATGTGCCTTGAAACCAAGATGATATTGAAGCTATAATGTGTTCCACTGTGAGCTCCCTGGTAGTTTTTGTATCACATCACTGTATTGTTCATGGTTAACTGTTCTAGAGGCTGGTTAATATAGTAATGCTGACTTCAGAAAGGGAAGGTAAGCTGCTTGTAGTTTTTAAGGGGAATGGAACTTGAAATACTGATTCAGAAGATGCTTTCTTGTCTGGAATGTGGCAGGGAATGGTTTGGGGAAAACTAGGTGCTACTTGCTGCAGGCAAAAATATTTTAATAGTATCAGGATGTTGTCAAAAGATGTGGTCATTATTGAATCAATTTAAGCCTGGCCCTACTGGTTTGGGAACAGCAGTATGGGGGATGATTCCTCATACTTTGGACTTAAGAGATGAGGCAGAATGCTTAGTGATGTTGCTCTGTATGGGAGTTCTAGATGTGATCCATGTGTAACCAACCTCTTCACTGTCCAGGCTTTTAATTTTCCTTTCCAGTGAAAGGAAACAAGAATGTAGTTTTCTCTCTACCATTTCCCTTATCTGCTTCTGAGATAAAGGATGAAGAGCTAAGCTAAACATCTCGTACAGTAATATTCAAGGGAATAGCTTACGAAGGTAATACTGAAGTTGGTATGTTTGTTGGACGAAAGTCTGAAGTTGTAGGAAGGATTAGGCTAGGTAGTTTTAAGGAGAGCTCTACTACAACTAGGTTGGCAGAACTAATGGAAAACTCTGCTGTATACCACACCATATCTTGTGTCTTCAAGCAAGACAAAAAGTACTCAGTAATCAGTAAGTCTATAAATGAATATTCAAGTTAGGTAGCTTTATGAATTGGTTTAGCTTATGGATTCATTGTATCTCTTGCTGTATTACTGGAAACTGAAAGACTGGAGCTTAAGTAATCCTCAGTGTCTCTATTTTATGGAACTAAAGGTAAAATGCTAACAAGCTGTAACTCTTTAGGCATGCACACAATAGCAGCCCAGCTGCTTGGATCTGGGGCATCCATTAATGACACAATGTCAGATGGACAGACTCTACTACATATGGCAATACAGAGACAAGACAGCAAGAGTGCACTCTTTCTGCTGGAGCATCAGGCAGATATAAATGTCAGGTAAGAACTGGCTATGTGTTTAGGAGCTGGTAGCGATGACTGTCTTTATATAATGGCTTGAAGTTGTTTTCCAATCATGATTTGCACATAGTTATGCATTTGGTGAGGTTTTTTAGGGCAGTAGTTATGGCTGAGGGATTACACATGTGAAATGGGAGCTCTACACATATATAGCTCCATAGCTCAGTACCTCATCCAGGCTGGAGAGGGAGGTGTCACTTAACTCTAGGTAAAACAGAATCTTCTGTTACAGACTTATAAGTCCTAGAGAGATGGTACTGAACTTTAGCTTCAATCTGCTTGCTGGCTTGTTGGAACTGCATGTTTTCTACCATCTAAACTAATCAATCAGATGTAGCTCTAGCAGCAAGATTCCAGTAGAACCTGCCTCCTGAGTATCAACTAGACATTAGACTTAACAAAACAGTTATCTGCTTACGTGACTGATAGGCTGTCTTTTACATTTGGCAAGCTATACTGTGATGGGTATCATGGGCGCAGACTTCCTAATAATGCCGGTCCAAGTGCAGCTTTTTAACAGTTGTTACTTGACTGTTGCTTGGGAGTTACTACAGTGCATAGCTGTTTGCTTCTAGGGCAGTGGGCTTGCTCTGAAGGAAAACTCTGATCAGATAATGGCAGCAATTCAAGAAATGGCAGTGTCTCTGAGCTAGGAACACTAACATGCTTCTCAAACTTTAGAAATCAATCCCTTTTTACTAAAGGGAGAGAGGGAAGGTAAGCTACATAGCTGTGATGAAAAACTAGCATGGTGCATTTGGTTGGCTGTAGAGTTATGGTCTTAACACAGTAAAAATACACACGAGGAGATAATTCTTGGCTTTGCCAATAAACCACTGTAATATGAGGCCTTGCTTTGTAATGCAGTAGTAACACACTTCAGACTGTTTCTATTGCAGAACACAGGATGGAGAGACTGCCTTGCAGCTAGCTATAAAAAACCAGCTCCCTCTTGTGGTTGATGCTATTTGTACCCGAGGAGCAGACATGTCTGTGCCAGACGAGAAAGGAAATCCTCCTTTATGGCTTGCCTTAGAGAATAACCTGGAAGATATTGCATCAACTCTGGTAAGATTGTCAGTTGACTTAATTTAGCCTCACTTTTGTGCATCTTGCTAGCAACAAAGGGTGCACCAGCAAAACCAAATGCAATGCATGGAAAGAACAGAGTAGTTCTGTATCACCATCTAACTTCTAGGAGTTTTTCTTCACCAAAAAAGTTCCTTTTGCTTGTGAAATCTTTTATAAACACTAGTCTGCACAGCCGAATATCTTGCAGCTACTGTAGTAAAAGTAAAGTAATTAAATACAATTAATAATACTAAATTTATAATAATAATTAAATTATCTGGATTCCCAATCCTGGAAGGAGTAAGGATCTACTAAAAACATTAGTCTGTACCATTGCAGATGTGTAATGATCAGCTTCCAGAATAATATTGGACACTCATGTGCTTTAGAGAATGTGCTGGCTTCTATTGCATCTTAAAGTTCCATCAAGAAGGCCTTTAAAGGCTTATGCTTTTAAGACTATTTACTTTCAGGCATAGGTGATCCATCAGGAGATCTAAGATGCAAGTAGACATCCTTATGTCTCCTTCATTAGGAAGGTACTTGAGAGCTTTGTCTCTGATATCCATTTATTGTCTGCTAGAGACAGCTATTTAAAGGCTGTGCTAATGACTTGAGAAATACTTCTTGTAACTGTACTTGACCATTTGTGCTGGCATTGGATAAGAATCCTTATGGAGTCAACACTGAATCTACTCATTTATAAACCTTGTAAGTAGTTTGTAAAGGAGTGGAGCAAGTTTTATTTAAGTGCCACATTGCTTGAGTAAGTAGTTCTGCAGTAGAATACAAATACTAGAAATTCAGTACCTGAAAAAAGGGTCTTTAGCTGAATGAATAGGAAAGCAAGTAAATGGGCCTTGTCTGTCCTAAGAATAGATAAGGCATCTCAGATCCTGCCTTTGAGGGATAATGTTTCAGAAACATCCGTCAAGGACTTCATAAAGTAGTAGGAGCCTGCTGGAGACATTAAATACCCTTCACTGCCTCATTGTGCTTCTCCTTCCAGGTTAGGCATGGCTGTGATTCAACCTGTTGGGGGTCAGGACCAAGTGGCTGCTTACAAACTCTTCTTCATAGAGCTATTGATGAAAACAGTGAACAGATAGCATGCTTTCTTATTCGCAGGTCAGCCCCCTTCTAAAGTACAAATCTTCTAATGTGCATGTGTATATTTTCCTGGAATAAATTAACTGAATGCTATTTTGAGCCAGTAACAGGTATGTGCTTCATTAGACTTTTGGTGGGTGGATGGCACTTACGGAAGTATGACTAATCTTGGGTGCACTCTGTTATCTGTATTACCATCATGTTCTTGATGACGAGAGTCAAACCAGGAACTTGTGCTTTTGTAGAATGTCAGCAGTTGCTGGATCAGTTGTGTAAACTTTTTTCTGACCCTTGTTGGGAACAGTGTACATCTGGATTGAATGTAATAAATTGACTGTATCGTGTTTGTTTTAGTGGTTGTGATGTGAATAGTCCCAGAAAGCCAGGCCCTAATGGAGAAGGAGAAGAGGAAGCTCATGATGGACAGACGCCCTTACACTTGGCAGCCTGCTGGGGACTTGAAGAAGTGATACAGTGCCTTTTGGAGTTTGGTGCCAATGTCAATGCTCAGGTATGTGGAGAAATTGTGTACAATTCCTTTTGAATTTTGTTCTTCACCTCTAATACAGCAAACCCAAACTTTCTTCTCAGCTGTGTATTTTCCTGTCCCTTTTTAGCAGATCTAGTGTTTATCTGCCCATGTGATGGGTGAATTCAAGAAACTATACTGAGGGAAGACAATGATACAGGAAACTTCTTGCAGTATGAGCTTTCTGATACAGTGATTGGAATGAACTCCTCTGTCCCAAGTGTGAATTGAAGGCAGAAGCAGGGCTGTATTTTGCTGCGTTTGATCAGTAGAGCAGCTACAGTGTAAAACCTCAGAATACTCTACTTTGTTAGTATGTTTGGGAAGTGTCTGCTGCTGCTGAGTGAACTGAGGTGACATATAATGAGCTGTGCTTCATCTTTGATTACACAGTAATCCTTAAACAGAAGCTTGAGAAACAGCAACAGAATAAATAAATGCAGAACACTTGTAGGTCCTGATGCTATTGACAATGACATCAAAATGAATGACAGAACACACAGTCACAAAGCAGCCATGGCTGTAAACTGCTGCTTGAGACAGACAAGTGACTCGGCACCTTATTTGGATTTGCTAACTTAAGTGTGAATGCTTATCTCTGCCCCCAAAAGGTCTGCCTACATGGGATATGTTACTTTGAGCTACTCAAATGGCTGTATAACACGGGATTGAGGTCAACCAATTTGAGAAATGGATAACAATTTGCCTTGCTTATACTGTGGATTTGAGCTCCCACTGCGACTGTTTGGTGTCCTATCCCAAAGCAGAACCAATCAGTTCCCTAAATCTGAAGTTGAGGAAAGGACTTGTGTATTACTCAATCTCCATATAACAAACTTCTTGGTTTCCTTCTAGGATGCAGAAGGAAGAACTCCAATCCATGTTGCCATTAGCAACCAGCACAATGTTATCATTCAGCTTATGATTTCCCATCCAGATATTAAGCTAAATGTCCGTGACAGGCAAGGAATGACCCCCTTTGCTTGTGCTATGACATATAAAAACAACAAAGCAGCTGAAGCAATTTTGAAGAGGGAGCCAGGAGCTGCTGAACAGGTAAGCTGGGAGCTTTCACAGCATGGTAGTGGAATTAATGCACTATTTTGTGGTAACAAGAGTTCCACAAGCAAATTATGCTTTATGCTTTAGTGGCTTCACATGGAATGACATTTGCCAGATGCTAGTTTTCTGTAGCAGGATTTATTAGGGAACTGTAGGGGTGTATGTGCTATGTGTGAGCAAGAACATCAAGTGATAGTGTCTCATCAAACCTTATCTCCTCAGTACTAAATCGAGGAACAGGCGTATGTGTATTTAAGGAGAAAGTTCTAACCCTACTCTTGTGCTCGACTAGTTCAAAAATGATCTACTACCTAGCTCTCCGGAAGCAGTTCGAAATGGAAACCCTGACCTAAAATAATTCAGTAATAGATCTCATGCTGAGCTATAAAAAAATCCAACTGTATCTTCAGGCTTCTGGTGTGACGCTTCAGGCAGCGGTTCAGGAGTTTCTTCCTATCCTGTTGTCCTGGGTTCAGCAGTAGCAGTCATGTTTCTCCTCCTTGGTAGCTGGTGCAGTGCAGTGTTTTGACTTTCGGCTCGGGAACAGAGCTAATAGAGATGTTTTGGTTTGGCCAAGGACTTTGTGAGCCTCATGCTCTGCCAGGGAGGAGGGGAAGCCGGGAGGAAGCAGAGACAGGACACCTGACCCAAACTGACCAAAGAAGTATTCCATACCACAGCACGTCATGCCCAGGATGTAACTGGGAGTTAGCCGGAAGGGCTGGGAGACTGCAGGGTTGGAGGAGGTATCGGTCGGAGCTTGGTCGGGCTTGGGGGGCGAGTTATCGGTCAGCGGGTGGTGAGGTGTTGTATTCTCTTCCCTTGTTATTTTCCTTTATCATTATTATCATTGGTGGTAGCAGTAGTGATCTGTGTTATACCTTAGTTACTAAACTGTTCTTATCTCAACCCGTGGGAGTTGCATTCTTTTGATTCTCCTCTCCATCCCTCCGAGAGCAGGGGGAGGGCAAGAAAAGGGGGGGAAGTGAGCGAACGAATTACCTGACTGGGTTTAAACCACGACAGTTCTTTTTGGCGCCCAACGTGGGGCACAAAGGGTTGAGATAACGACAGATCTGACTGGATTAATAGTCATTCGTCACAATGCTGATTTATTGGGTATCAGAGTTGCTCTTCTTGATCTCACAGCTTCAGACCGTTGTAACTTACATAGAGCCGGTATTTGCTGTGTTAGTGTTTATCAAGTGTGGGGCCTGGGCTAAGGTTCTTGTCTCACTGTGCTTTATGGCAATGGCTTGTAATACGGGCGGGCTCCAGCAGCAGGGCGGGACGGACGTGGCCGTGGACTTGTACCTGGCCGTCCGGCTGCTCTTCACCGTCCTGGCCCTCACCCTACTCTCCATCTTCGTGAGGCTGCGGGGAGCCGAGGGGGAGCGGCCCCGGGAGCCGGCGGCTGCTGAAGCGGCCCGGGAGAGCGGCCCCGGGGACCAAGCGGCGGCGGGAGCGGGGCCGGAGGCCGCGAGGGGACGGCTGCCGGTGGAGGAGGCCGGGGCGGTCGAGAAGCAGAAGGAAGCGGCTGCCGAGCAGCGGGATAAGGCGGCGGAAGAGCCGACCCCCGCGGAGGAGCCCAGCCCCGCGACGGCCGAGAGCATTCCCCGGAAGCCGCCCGCCGAGCCCCAGGAGGACGCAGGAGACCACGCAGCATTTCCCAGCAAGGCAGAGGAGGAAGAGCTGGACTCAGGAAAAGAGAAGCCGGTGGTGGGAGAGCCGGCAAGCACAGCAGCTACACCAGCCCCAGTGACAAGCACAGCAGCGTCGTTTGAGAGTTCTGAAGGCTCTGAATGGCCTTTGGGTATCCTTGGGACCTGCCTGCTGATTGTGATGGGGATCAGCATGTTGGCACACACACAGGCTGTGTTCTACCCACAACCATTTTGTCTGATCTCAGAAGTTAAGCAGAGTCAGGTTTGGGTCTTGTCTGGGGTTAGACAACAATATAGGGGGACCAAGAGATTTTCCCCAAGGCTGGAGAGTCATGAGTGGCAGGGTATGTGGGACAGTATGGGCAAGTATCTAGTCCACTGGGCCCCTCCAGTGCTTTGGAAGCGCCGGAGATGGAAGGCAGCTGTATGGAGTCCCCAGCAACAAGCTGCAGAAACTGCTTAAGGGGACAGTGAATTATTTTAAGCCTGGTGGGCCCATGGCACTTCAGGCCATCAGAGCAGAGATGCACCACAGAGATGGACTCATGATCGAGGGGTGGACTTAACAATGGACACTATTGCCCAGGTTATTCACGAGTGTGAACACTGCACACAGTCTCTCCTGCTCTGGAAGACTGTTACAAGAGATGGAGCCTGACATGGACCAGATGGACGCAGTAGCTTTATAGGGACTGGTCCATGCACTAAGATAAGAGTGCACCGAGATAAGAGTGATGGTATATTGAAAATGTGGGATCTGAGCATGACGTGAATGGTATGGAATAAGGGGTGGATAATGTCCTGGGTTCAGCAGTAGCAGTCATGTTTCTCCTCCTTGGTAGCTGGTGCAGTGCAGTGTTTTGACTTTCGGCTCGGGAACAGAGCTGATAGAGATGTTTTGGTTTGGCCAAGGACTTTGTGAGCCTCATGCTCTGCCAGGGAGGAGGGGAAGCCGGGAGGAAGCAGAGACAGGACACCTGACCCAAACTGACCAAAGAAGTATTCCATACCACAGCACGTCATGCCCAGGATGTAACTGGGAGTTAGCCGGAAGGGCTGGGAGACTGCAGGGTTGGAGGAGGTATCGGTCGGAGCTTGGTCGGGCTTGGGGGGCGAGTTATCGGTCAGCGGGTGGTGAGGTGTTGTATTCTCTTCCCTTGTTATTTTCCTTTATCATTATTATCATTGGTGGTAGCAGTAGTGATCTGTGTTATACCTTAGTTACTAAACTGTTCTTATCTCAACCCGTGGGAGTTGCATTCTTTTGATTCTCCTCTCCATCCCTCCGAGAGCAGGGGGAGGGCAAGAAAAGGGGGGGAAGTGAGCGAACGAATTACCTGACTGGGTTTAAACCACGACACCTGTGTAAGTTTAATTACTAGTAAAGTATTTGAGTGCTTAGTGAGCTCTTGTAATACATCTAAAACATGGTTACAAATACAGCCAGTCTCAAATATGCTTTAACGTCAGCTTCAAGGCAGAAATGAACAAACATGCACTTGGTGTGAAAGTAAAAAAGGAATATACTGCATCAATGTGGCAGGATTGCATGTTGCTTCCTTCTCTAGTGTTCACTTCCAGATTGACTCGAGTTTGCTTCATGTAACTGAGTTTTACCATTAACTGCTGCTCAGTACTTAACTCCAGCAGCTGTTAACTTTCTGCCTGTCATAATACTCTCCAGTGTGTGGTCAGGAAATGACAGGGTTATAAAGCAGGAATAAGGTAGTCTGAAACAGACTAAAGCAGGCAGTTTTAGCTGATAATTTAATATCACATCTATCAAGTCTCTAATATCAAGGAGTGGAAGGAACAAGACTAGAGCTCACCTCAAGTTGAGAGAGTAAGTATCTTAGTGAAAATAGGTCCTACTACAAAATGATTTACTGTTCTACAGTAGAATGGTTTTCATTTCATGTGCCCTTTCTGCCACAGGTTGATAACAAAGGTCGGAATTTCCTACATGTAGCTGTTCAGAACTCGGACATTGAGAGTGTGCTGTTCCTCATAAGTGTACAGGCTAATGTAAACTCTCGGGTCCAGGATGCCTCCAAACTAACACCTCTCCACCTGGCTGTACAAGCTGGCTCAGAGATCATTGTGCGGAATCTGGTATGTATCAGAGTCACTTTTCCTCAACTTAAAAATGCACATTCTGCCTTAATGTGTGCTCCCTGTAGGCTGGAGAAGTCAGCTGAAGGTGACGCCACTCTTCCTGAAACACAACTGACTTGCATAAAGTTCCCTCAGCATGTGCTGTTAGCTGAGCAGCATCAGTCGCCTTCCTATGAGCACGTTTGACTTGCAGCAATCGCTAGGTAGCATGGCTCACTTCAAAGGAGGAGCCCTTACCTTGTGCTTTGTGCAGATTTGAGCATGAACTCAAACTGCAGGAGCTGAATAACGGTAGCATTTATGTATGCTGGAGGCCTAGAAGTGTCTCTGCACAGTAGAGTCGTGTGTGCTTCGTTCACAGAAGTAAACTGTTGGCTAATAGCCCAGAAAACATCTTTGAACGTATTCCTTCTTGCATCTCGACAGCTGCTTGCAGGTGCCCAGGTGAATGAACTGACTAAGCACCGGCAGACTGCTCTTCACTTAGCAGCACAGCAGGATTTGCCCACAATTTGTTCAGTCCTTCTGGAGAATGGAGTAGACTTTGCAGCTGTAGACGAAAATGGAAATAATGGTAAACTCTTAAAGTTCTACAAGTAGTTGTAAACAGTTCAGAAGGTCTGTCATGATCTCTCCTAGTGATAGAGATTGCCCTCTGAATGGGCTCACTTATCAAAGTTGAAAAGGGATGAAAGTCCAAGAAATCAAAGCTGGTGGAAGAAGTTTTGGAGAGGGAAGGTGGGGGAAGTAGAAGGGGAGTGCTTAATTTTATCACACTGTGATTACTGCTGACATGAACTACTTCAGATTCTTAAAGCTTCTCTTTTCCTTTCAGCTCTTCATCTGGCAGTGATGCATGGCCGACTAAACAATATCCGTGTCCTGCTCACAGAGTGCAATGTAGATGCAGAAGCCTTTAATATCAGGTAATCAGTATAGCCTTAACAGACTAAAAGGACTACAATCTGGTTTAAAATATGTGCTGGTATGACTAGATACAAAAAACCAAGTATTTAGCTTGGATTATAGTGTTTCTACGCTGATGTTACAGTGAAGTGTGCAGAGTGTGCTGTGTATAAATTGTGAGGAAATGATGTATACCAGGAAAAGGAAGCTAAAGCAGGCGGTTGTGTATGATTGCACTAAGCTACTTAAGTGTAGCCATGTTTAAGTCTGAACCAAACTCAAAGGCAAAGAGAGTGGATAAGTAATTGTAATAGTGAACAGAACTCAAGGATAACCAACTCTTTTCCCCAGAGGCCAGTCGCCAATGCATATTCTGGGACAATATGGGAAAGATAATGCAGCAGCCATTTGTGACCTTTTCTTGGAATGCATGCCAGAATACCCTCTGGACAAACCTGATGCTGAAGGAAACACAGGTGGGTGAGATTCAGTGGCTGTTGAACTTCAAAGTCACTCAAGTTTTATTCATGGTGTGTCACTTTTAGAGCTGGAATGATTTGCAGTAATATGTTAAATACAGTAAGACATAAACACTGAGTGTAACACAAGACCTACTGCTCTGTTAGCAGTGTCTGGCTTTTATTTTTCAGTGCTCCTGTTGGCTTACATGAAGGGAAATGCTAACTTGTGTCGTGCAATAGTGAGAGCTGGGGCTCGTCTTGGAGTTAATAATAATCAAGGAGTCAATATCTTCAACTATCAAGTTGCTACAAAACAGCTTCTCTTCAGATTGCTGGGTAAGTACTACTTGCTACAGTTGGAAAGTGCTTTCAGCTTGTGCTTCTGAGATACTTTAGAGGAGGAAGGAACTCAGAATATTTGTCTTAGAGGACAGTAATTCCAGAGGGGGTGAACTTCTGAATATTCTGCTACTTTAAATGGGGGGTAGAAATAGTAATTTTTCTCATGATCAACTGAAGTTGCACAATGCAGACCTGTCAAATATTACTTTTTCTGAAAGGATAGATAGACATGGAGACTACTGGCTGGTGTCATAGCTAATGTAGCCCAAAACCTAGATTCTGCTTTTGAACTTGTGCTGTATAGTTGTAGGTAATGCAGTGCTGAAAGCAGCTATACATTGTCTACAACCAAGACTGCAGCTACTACAGGAGTAGTTAAATGAATTATACTGGATCCACCAAAAAGCTGTAAGAAGCCTCCTTAACAATACAGTGTACTCAAGGTGTCTGAGCCCCTTTACCTTTACAATTTTGCCTCTGACAGATATGCTGACAAAAGAACCTCCCTGGTGTGATGGCTCCAACTGCTACGAATGCACTGCCAAATTTGGAGTCACAACAAGAAAGCATCACTGGTAATGTGACACATCTTGTTGTACTTACAAGGAAATGGATTCCTCTTGCAAATGTAGCTAGTCTGGTTCTTTCTGGTGGTTTAGGAAACCTTCATGTTAATGTAGGTGTATTACCAGTAATCCAGCTGAAACATTCCATCCTGTCCTAGATCAGTTTCTTGTAATCTGACTAAAATAGTACCGTGTTTGTTGGAAATACGAACTTGAGAGAGGACCCCCGTAGTTCTAAACTTCTCCTCAGAGAGGAGTTCAGGTGTGTCAGGATCCAGACTTAGTCCCAGACTTGGTCAACAGTTTATGTCTAAAGGATTATATATGCACAATCAATCCTTTATATCCCTTAGTGAGGATTTCCAAGTTTCAGCATGCTTATTCCCAGTTCGCTTACCAAGTACCTAATGCAATAAGGATTCTGTTGAGGTTGAGAAGTGTCTGTGCTCAAGAGGCAAGCCTGGCACACAGCTTGCTGCTGTGCGGGAGAGCTCCACGAGCCATGGGCTGTCTATGGAGTAGGGTGACTGGCTTAGCTGTGTTTGCATAACCAGATGTATTTCAGTTGATGCATGCTCAACTAGCCCTCAGCTGCTGAGCAAGGTTTATAGCCCTTAGTTACTGTTATATCTCCCCAGAGGACAGCTTAAGCTATTGCTTAAGCAGAAAAGGGGGGTTGGGGCACTGTTACAGTAGTGGGGCTGACTTGATCTGAGAGATGAGAGATCTGGGCACCTACTGCCAGTTTAGGATAGGGGTGCTGTGTGTAATGTGGGAGTGAGTGAAGATGCTGACATGAGTAGACACAAACTGCATTTACTTAACTAGTGTGATCTTCTATAAGCTGTGCTGGGTTAGGTGGATGTTAAACTCAGATTTTTCTTTCTGGCCAACATTCCAGAGAAAACTACCCATGCATCAGTTGAAATAGTACTAGGTGAGTGACTAGTACAGAAGCAGTATGGGGTTTTAGCATTAGTATTTAATTATTAAATAAGAGATATAAAAAGATGTAAGAAAAATACAGCATTTCAATTGCTACTGTACCTTTCTAGTGATACTGTCATTGCTAAAGAATATCCAACAGTAAAACCCTGGTGATCCCTATGAGTGAATTTACCTTTCTCCACTCCTCTATCAACAGCCGACACTGTGGACGCCTGCTCTGCCATAAGTGCTCAACAAAGGAGATTCCTATCATAAAATTTGATCTGAACAAGCCAGTTCGAGTTTGCAACATCTGCTTTGATGTCCTCACTCTGGGAGGAGTCTCCTAGTATGCTGTGGAAGTAAAGGGATTCCCAGTCAGTGCTCCTGACAGCAGCTCTGCTTACAAGCCCTCTGGATAGGGAAGAGGAGGCCTATACATGTCTTCTGCACTAGACTGAACTAATTAAGGACCCTGATACGATATATTCTGGTATAAATGACTGTATGACTGTAAATGTATTGGGCTGTGATAGACTTCACTAGGAATTCGAGTGGAACGTTGAAATTAAGTGACAAAAGAAGTTAGACCCTCTTCTAGTTGCAGTGGGGTATGGAAGCTCACATTGCTAGGCTGATGTTTGAATTGACATAAAACAGGTCTGTCCTTGACATGGTGCTTTGCACTGAGCAACTCTACTAAGTCCTGTGGCTTTTGGGCTGCCTAGTAGAGGTTGGCATTACGTTTCAGGGTAACCAGGTATCTTTCTTTGCTTTGTCTTAAAGATAAATGTTCCCTTTCTCTAGAGAAGACTTCCTGTGAAGCTAGACTGAGCTGTTGCAACTGCTGTTCATTTCGAGAAACTCTTCAAAAATGGAGTAGTTCCAAGTATAGCTCAAGAATTGTGGCCTTACAACAGAAAGCTTTACAACATCTGATGCAAAGCAGTCAGAATTGCAGATCCACAGCTTGATACCTCCTCAGTAAATGTCTCATTAGCTTTAGCATGTTCAAGAGAAGTGCAGCATTGTTTTAGCCAGCGAATCCTCTTGCTCATACCTGCCAGAACTGTTCAAGTCTTTGTTGCACTTTCATATTTACGTTGCTAGTCCTTCCAGTTTGTGAAACTTGTATAAATGCGCATAAGTGTGCTGCAGGGCCTAACTAAGCATATGCTAAATGGAGAAACACTAAAACTGGTTCAGTAGTGGAACTCTCAGTACAGCAATAAATGCTGAAGTGCATTATGAATCCCAGGAGGGAAAGTAGCACTTTCCTTTGGCTTGGAGACCCTGGTTAACTGCTGCAGGAGTCTCAGTAACGCTACCAGTGTAAAATGTGCTGCACCTCTAGACACTAAATATGGGTCCATTTTTAGCAGGGTTGCTGGTGAGTGGTGGTGTATTTGGAGGCTTCCCGTTAGCATTAAGCCTTGGAGGAAGGATGCTGAAGTGGTGGTGCAGTGCCAGGGGTTTGGATTAAGCTGCAGTATTTTAATCTAGGCTCATTGTGCTCTCTTAAACATGCTGAATCTGTAAAAATCCAACACCACAATACCTAGGAAACAGGAAAGTACTTTGCTGATAGACAGGGTTGTGATTTGGTGGGCAAAGGCTTCAGTCAGAAAAACGTGTACTTAAACAAAACTACATGCCATCTTAAGGCTGTTTTTATCCCAGTTTAGACTCAACTCAGCAATCCTCATCTCTACTCCATGAACTGTGCGTTTATTTGATGACTGTTATCTCCTCCAGTGTACGATATGGACAAGTTGGTGATGCGCTGCCCTATTTGGAATAGTGACTTACCAGTCTTAAGGAGTAAGATGGGATGATAAACCAGACTGCTGCTTTCATGGAAGATTTGCTTGAGGTTTTTCTTCAGACTTGTACAAGCAAAGGGTAGAGGAGGGTGTAATTGCTGACATTTGCACGACGAATTTCACATCAAGTCTCACTTGATCTGCACTTTGATCTTCCAATATGCATATATTATAACTGGAATCTCACTCTTGTAACACTAGAGAAGAATAATGGATGATAATAGAAACTTGCATCGCTGTTTTATGTCTGCTGCTGTCACGTTGCAACAGAATGCCCTGGGTGACACAACTGGTCTCTAACACTGTTACTGATACAAGTGGTCCATCTCTGGAATAATTCTCTAGGTGGAAAATAATGGTGTCTGAAGCACTGAACTGCAGGCTACAGTTTGGTTTTATAAGTGAAATAGATGATGGAAGACACTGAATTTCTAGTCTCTTGCTTTCTTAGGTTTCAGAGTATCACTGGTTGCAAGTCTCTAGATGGAGAGAAAGTGCATTTGGTGAGTCTTGACTGTACTGTATCCTCTGATCATGTGCTAACTTTCTCCTTGGTTGGGAGCTGCCGTGATGTGGAGTGCTAAGTGTGTGCTTACAGTACTGATAGAGGTAGAGCCCAAGGACTTCATCTTCATTGGAAAGCCACACAACATGCAATGTCTGAACCATTTAAACATCACGTTTTCAGTGACTCCCTGGTGGAAGGAGCAGGGGAACAGGGAGCTCAGTTCTAACAGAATAAGCAACCTTTTAAATTATGAAAAATGTAGATGTTGTGAAAATTCAGCTTAACTGAGTGGCAGGTTTAAGGCTGGCTAGTTGTTCTTTTTGAAGTAGACTATTAATTGTCTCCTAGAGGTTCAGGCAGTTACATCTTGGAAACAACATCTAATGCTCCTTGTTTGCCATGTACAGCCAACAATACAAGTTTTCTCACTGAAATCTGAAAGAGAGGGTTAGTCATAAACTAACACACAGTCTGAAGTGTTCATGGAATTTCAAAGAACTAAATTCAGGAAATTTAATCATGTTAAAGTGCCTTTGAGATAGTTTCCTTCCAGCCAACTTTAAATAGCTTTCTGCCAGTTAAAGGGAAAAAGCTCACACCTTGAACCAAAATCCAAGTTTGTTCTCTTCTAGTTCAGCTGAAGAGGCTGAGCCCAGCACCCAGCTGGTGGGGCTCAGTCCTTCACATGCTCTGCCTAGTATTGGTCTGAACTCTGACACTTGATGTTTTGGGGGAGTTTTGCTGCCAATGCTCTGCTGCAGGGTACAAATGTGAACAAAGGCACTTGGTAATGCAGTAGCGGTCATCACATTTCTAACTCTGTAAAGAACTGCTCTTCCTTTTTATAGCATAGTACAGTTGTGACCAAACCCCCCTCCCTTCACCCCTGCTGGTTTTAAATGGTATTAACTTAGGATTCAAGTCTGCCAAGTGTTAAACAAGAGGGTGAACGGAAAACAAACTTGTGTCCCAGGAAGTGATGCTGTCAGACCAGGCTGTGGGCACTGCAGCAGAGCTGCACGGGAAGTCTGTGGTGGTTCATACTGTAGCTTTTTGTTCTGAGCCTGGATTCCTTTGGATTACAGTCATCCAGCACCCTTACACAAGCACAAAACCTGGTCTGGCTTCAAGTGTAGTGTATCTGAAAAAGGTGTAGTCACTGCTTCACACCACTAAGTGGAGTGAGAATGTTGGTGTTGAAGGTACTAACACAGCAAAGCAAGCTGCTGGCTAAAAGCTGACAGATGCCTTAATGACTCTGTCATTGGCTTGTACAACTTCTTACATAGTGCTTCTAAATTAACCTGTAACAATATGGGATGCTGAGGCTGGATTTTTTTGTAAATCAAATATTAATAGGCAAGTCCTCTTTCTCCTGTAACCAGCAGCGTTGGTACTGCAGCAAACTCGGCTCTAGAAAAATCAGAGCTTGTACAAGTGACAAACAACTCTGACCATTCTAATACCCTCTGTGAAATAGAAAAGGGAGTCTTAGAACAATGGCGTTTTTTATCTGCAATGTTTGTCTGGAGTCATTGTAAAAATGTATTTTTCCAATACGCATTACTTTGTTGTGTAATGATTCTACTTGTAATAAAATGCATAACTAGATCATGCATCGTGAGGTAGAAAACCTTGTTCAGAAAGTCTCTCGTGTAAAGACAGCTGCCCCTCTGTGGGCTGTCCTCTACAAGGCACAAGGAAAACTAGGGCTGGGACAACTTGTATTCCTTGTTTTGAGGTTATTCTAGGTACTCATTTTAATGTTGGGGAACTGCTACAGCTGTTCTGGTTTATACCACCTAGTCATCTCCAATGCCTTATACTAGACTTACCTGTAATCATTCCTATGAAACAATCCTGACTTCCTACAGGCCAGAGCTGCTTCATGGAGTAAATCACTTCTCAGCTCAGATCCACTTCAGTGGATGAGTAACATAGGCTTGGTGTGCTCAGCTGCACACTGGTGGGCAGCTTGGCCTCCTGGAAGAGATGTAACTGCTGCAGCTTTACTTCAGGATAAGGAAAGCTTCAGTGCAATAGCAGAACCCACCAAACCATCTTGGTGAGATTGTGATGCATTAGTCTTTTATTAATAAAACTTATTAAAGTATGGGTGAATGGTGAGCTTTATTAGAGCACTGCCTCTGTGCACTTGACCCCTGTGTAACTGTCACTATTCTTTCCCACCCTTTTCTACCCTAGGAGCGTGGAGCTGAGCTTTTGGAACACTCCAGGTCCTTGAGGGAGTCTCCATGTTTGCTTTAGCAGATGATTTATCTCTACTACAAGCCAGACCCCCTGTAGTGTTACGAAACACTACCATGGAATTGGTTTTCAACCAACTGACGTTAAAGCAGCACCATCCTGTCTTTCCTTCCTGCAGCAGTGTATTTGGTTTTGGTGTGGCTCTTAAGATAAGAACCATCCATGCAGCGTTCCAGCACTATTTGCATAGTGCTCAGGCATCCCAGCTGTATGGTCCCATCCACAGCTGTAGCCTCATCTATAACCATCACCGGTGAGAAGTGTTGCTGCATGACCTGCTGTTGCTGCCAGGAAGGGACTACTCCAAAGTAATGCTGCCAGGCCTCCTGTGAGCTCACCCAGTTATGAACTAATAGCTCTTCAGAGGTAGCAGTAGCTCAAAACTTAAGTTTATAAATGCCTTCTAGCTCTTTCTACATAGGTGGCAGTTGCCTTAAGGAAAAGAATTGAACACAGCTCAGCACACCTGTGCCGCTCCTGTACTCGGTGTCTCTCAAGGCTGCAGCTACATCAGAAACTGATTATAACAGTAGATTCTTTGAAAAACAGCAACTGCTTCCCTGTACCTGGGGATTTACAGTGCCTGAGCCCTCTGCAGGTGCTTCCTTGTCCCTTTCAGCCCCACACAGGAATGGTAATAACTTGCCTGCTCTTTTGGGAGTCACTTCTATCACTGAATTTTGCCAGCTGTGATGAAATCTGTACAGACTTTATGGAGCTGGGCTCTGTGAGGATACACCCAGCCTCGGGTTGTAGTTCAAAGGGCACATACCAGGTGGGAGAAGGTGCCATGGAAGCAGGAGGCAGATTACAGCAGGATGGTCATGCTGCCACATTGCTTTTATTATCATATACTGAGAAGTACCAGCTCCTCATCTGCGTAGTCTGAAAGTAGTGAATCACAGGAGCAGGAAGGTGCGGTTAATATTAAACAAGGATCCTCATAGGTGGCTCCCAGTATCTTCTTTACACAGTATCTAATACAAACACTAAATGAGGGAATACAATTCTGACTTTTGCCTTCTGTACTCCCAAGATTTTGGTAAAGCTTGTGTGTAACCAAGCTGTACAAGTTCCCAGATACTACCTACCTTAATTATAGGAGCCATTCAGGCTTCTTCCTGCTACCTTTAAACTTTGGAGTAAAGCAACTGACTGGGAAGGAGCATAAGCACTACAATGCAGCAGGGTTCAAACGACTGGTGGACTGTGTGTAAACTGGGGTCAGAGATGCTGCAGCAGTTTCTGTGCTCACAACCTTGCTGCCTTAAAACACAATACATTGCACAAACTCATCTCCCGACTGCACAAGAAATCAGTTGCTAAGTATAATTCAGGCTTTGCATCTTACAGTTTGTTGCCAGATGTAAAAATACCATCAGAATGAAGCACTAAGAAAGTATCCCATTACTAGCCACTAATTAGGCTGAAGTGTTTCCTCCTCCTCTCAACTCCATCTCCACACGTTAAAGAGTCACAACGTGAGCTTGCTGCTGCCCCTTCATGCAGATGGAGAGGAACACAGCTGGAGCTGCCCATACAAAGCTCGTTTCGCTGCAGGGCTCTTAACAGCGGCCTCGAATCCAGCCCTGGGAGTCACTCCTTCAGGACACACTGCTCTGCCAGCGGAGGGCAGCCGCTGTATTCCTGCAAGTGAGGGTTATCCAGGTCGCCTCTGTCGCGGTGCTCGGTGGAGTCCGGCTGCCCCCACGGGGGACCAGTTGTCCTCACACACACGCAACGGCTGCCCTTGGACCCCGGGTGGAACAGCTTCCGAGGGACTCCAGTCCAGTCTCTGCTCACTCCCCCACTGAGAATGGAAAAGTAAATCACAGTTCCAACCCGTGAAAATCACAGAATCCCAAACTGGTTTGACTGAAAAGACCTTAAAGCTCATCCAGTTCCAGCCCCCTGCCACAGGCAGGGACACCTTCCACTAGAGCAGCTTGCTCCAAGCCCCTGTGTCCAACCTGGCCTTGCACACTGCCAGGGATGGGGCAGCCACAGCTTCTCTGGGCACCCTGTGCCAGCGCCTCAGCACCCTCACAGGGAAGAGCTTCTGCCTAAGAGCTCATCTCAGTCTCCCCTTGGGCAGGCTAAAGCCATTTGCCCTTGTCCTTCCCCTAAAGGCCCTTGTAAAATGCTTCCAAGTGAACTGAGAATCGGTAGATAAAAGCCTAGGATAATCTGGGAGAGTTAGAACTAAAGACATGCCTACTGAGGCAGCCTCCAAACATCTCGGCTTTCTGGTTCATTTTATTGGCTGTGCTTCAGAAACCCATGGCCTGAACATAGTTTCACAGTGCTAGTACGTGCTCTCACCCTTCTGGGAGCAACCAGCTGCTTCCGGTGTTTCTATTGCTGGAAAAGGAATCACACAGCCTTACATAGCACAGCATGTCTAATAGCAAAAAATGCCTTTTTTGGTGTAGCTAATTGCTCACAGATCACCACACGCCACCTTCTGTGCCTTGCCTAAACACAATGATTCCAAGAACTAGGCCAAAAAAAAACCCCCAAGTGTCAAGTACTTCCACGACTACTTCAGTGTCTTCATTAGCCAAATCCTGCCTGATCCCCTAACTACTGCCCCTTTTAAGCCTGTAAACCTTTACACAAGTGACTGCCACACAACATGCAGTCCCAAGGCTGCACCCAAGCTCATTCACACATAGAAGCAGATCTCCCAGTGCTACCGGTGCACTGAAATGAAGCCTAAGCATTTTGTCTTCAACCAGAACAGTCCCTAAACTGAGAGAGGTATACAACTAAACAGGCCAAGCAGGAAATGACTATTCAAAGCTCAAGCTCATTTTTATGTGGTTGTAAGTGAAAACTGTTGTCCCAGTACTCTGTGAGACACACTGTGAAACTGTCTGAAAAGCAGGAGCTAATCCTTGCATTCCCTGTCTGAATGTAGCAGATGGTAATAGTGGGATTTGTGTCCTGTTTTCCTGAGAACAGGAGGATTGTGTGCACATGTGGCAAATTCTGAAACCTGATTTTGATTCCAGTGTGATAGCAGAGTTTTTGCCTCAGAAATAAAACTCCTAAGTGTACTGATTGGGATGAGACATCATTTGCCTTTTACCTACAAAGTGAGACGAGTCCCTCTCCATGGCCTCACGCTGGAGAAACCCAACCTGAAGCTCCGTGCAACCCCAGACTGGGTGGAGGCTGACAGCAGTTGTGCAGGGACTCCACACAGCAGGAGTGGCACAGCAGAGAACTGCACCACTGCTCCCTGGCAGTGGGCTCTGCCCTGTCAGAAAGCAGAGCCTGGGGGTGTTGGCTGACAGCCTCCTGAACAGAAACCAGCTTGTGGCCACCAGCATCCTGGCTTGTACCAGCAGCAGTGTGGCAGCAGGGCCAGGGCAGTGACTGTCCCCCCGCACTGGGCACTGGTGATGCTGCACCTCAAATCCTGTGTTCAGTTTTGTGCCCCTGACTGCAAGAGAGACATTGAGGGGCTGGAGCGGGGCCAGGGAAGGGCAGCGGAGCTGGTGCAGGGCCCTGAGCACAAGTGTGATGGGGAACGGCTGAGGGACCTGGGGGGATGAGTCTGGAGAAGAGAGGTCCCTACAAGTGCCTGACAGGAGGATGGAGCCAGGAGGGGCTGGGCTCTGCTCCCAAGGAACATGGGATGGGGCAAGAGGAAACGGCCTCAAGCTGCACCAGGGCAGGTTTAGGTGGAGCTGAGGAAACAATTCCTTCACAGGGAGGTTTGTCAAGCATTGGAACAGGCTGCCCAGGGAAGTGGTGAAGTCAGTCAGTCACACTTGGGGACATGGTTTACTGGTGGCCTCAGCAGTGCCAGGTTAAGGCCTGTAATTGATAATCATAAAGGTCTTTTCCAACCTGAGCGATTCTATATATGCAGACAGAGCAAGGGACCAGCCATACCAGCACTCAGCACACTAGGACCAACTGATGCCCTTTGTGAAGAAGTCAGCAGACCTCACCTACAGCCTACAGAGTGAGCCAGTACATCTTCCTATGTCACTCCTATTAGGCAAGGCAATGACAAAGCTCAGGGCATCCAAAGAAAGGTCGGAAACGCTTTGCTCCAGAGAGCAAGCGTGACAGCAGGAGGGCAAGATTTTACCTCTCTTTGGAGCACCAGAACCGGCTGCCCGCAGCAGAGCTCCATTCTGAGTTGCAGGGTGGAAACTGCTGCTTCCTCTGCTCGCTTTCTGCTTGGAACTTCAGCGCTTCCTCAATGGCAGCCTCAGCCTGCCGTAAAGCTTCTGTTGGTGCCCCGTATTCATCATAGAACCTGCCCACCAGCTTCCCTGGCAGAGAAGAGCAACGAAGACCACAGTGTTTCCAGGCAAGGAAAACGAACAGGGTTTAAATCTGTTATTTAAAGACAAAAAATAAGGCGGATCTTGGGCACAGCCCAATATTAAAACCAGACTGAGCTTTACATCCCCTCTATCCTTGGAGGTTCCCAGACTCCCATCCCCGTGCTGCTGGCAGGTTTCCCTTGCTGTGGCCACCCCGACCGAACCACCTACCCACGGGCTCGTAGTGCTCGCTGTAGAAGGCCAGCCAGCTCCGGATGGCCAGCAGCCGGCCTGGTGACAGCGCCGAGACATCATCCACCAGCCCCGCCGCGGTGAAGTCGCCGGTGGCGAACGCTCTGGTGGCATCTCTCCCTGTGGGGCAGGCAGCGAACCTCCAGCCCGCTGACAGGCCCAAACCCCGCTCCCAGAGCCCTCCCCTTTCCCCTCCAGAGGTACCTGCGAGGCCGCTGTAGGCACCCCCGGGGCCATAGTGTCTGCGGCCGCGCTCCACGTCGAAGACACGGCCCAACACAGCGAGGTAGAGGCCGGGCTCCCCCGGCGCCCCGCGGTACCGGGCCAGCTCGGCGCTGCTCAGCAGGCGGCCGCGGGGCGGCGGCAGCCAGGTGCGGGGATCGAACCCGCGGCCCAGCAGGCAGGCGGCCCCCAGGCACAACAGCGCCGCCACCGCCGCCGCGCCCCGCCGCATGGGGCCGCGCCACGACTGCTCCCGGCCTTTTCACGACGGTTTCCTCGCCGCACGGCGGTGTGGCCAGCGCCGGCGGACACCGTCCCTTTCGCGTCTCCGCTTTACGGCGAGCGTCGCGCGGTGCGGCAGCCCCGTGCCTTTCCGGGGCGGGGCTTTTGCGGCGCCGGGTGTCGCTTGGCGGCAGTGTGGCGCGGCCGCCGCCGGCCGGAGCTGACAGGTGCGGCGGGCCGGGAAGCTGCTGACTAAGGCGGGCCGGGCGGAGCCGCGGGAAGGCGGAGGACAAGTGGCTCTGCCGAGCGCCGGGTCGCAACGTCGGCGCTTCCGAGGGGCTCATGGGGACGGCGGCGAGCCACAGCAGCGAGGACGAGGAGGAGGGGGGCGCCGAGGAAGGCATGGAAGGGGCGGCCACCGCGCCTCAGCCCGGCGCTCCCTTCCCGCCTGGCACCGCAGCCAGCCCGGCGCCGCCGCTGCCTCCGGCTGAGGTGCTGTTGGACCAGGCCCGGTTGCGGGAGGCCACGGCGCGGCTGCGGGAAGCGGCGCTGCCCGAGTCGCTGGTGTCGCGGCACCACAGCACTCTGGTGCGCTGGCTGGAGGAGCGCCTCAGCCGCGGCGACGAGGCCGTCAGCCTGGAGCAGTTCTGTGAGGTGCTGGAGAGCGTCTCCCGCCTGGCAGCCGGCTCCCGCGGCGAGAGCGAGGAGGTGAGGCGGCGGCCGGGGGGGGGGGGGGCAGGCCCTGCTCGGGCCGGTGGGGGAGCTCCCGCCGGAGCCCGGGTGAAGGGGGGAGTGGAGGGAGGCGGTGGGAGCCCCGAGGGTGCTGCCGGAGGTGGATCTCACCGAGCCGGAGGTGCCCAGGCTCGGCCATGGGGATCCGGGTCACCCCTTCAGGTAACCGGGGCAAGGCCAGACCAGAGGCTCTTCTGCTGCGAGGCCAAACAGGCGGCTGGTGGTGCCGATAGGCAGGCTGTCGGCTTGTAGATAGTTTTTTTATTAATTAATTAATTGTGCCTGGTTTTGGAGATTACACTCAGCAACTGCTTCTGAAGAAAACCGTATTTTGCTACAACCCGCTGCTGCTGTTATTGCCAGCAGCAATAGCAGCTGTGGGTAGCACAGGTAGGAAATTCAGCGCAAGTAATTCCTTCGAGATGGTATCAGCAAGTCAGAGTTTACCAAACTTAATTTTCTTGTTCCTGTTCAAAACCAGCAGTGAAAATGTCAAGTATCTCATTGCAATCCTATTGCTTACTGTAAACTAAGAGGTTTGGAAAACTTGTTAGAAAGTAGTGTAACAGAGTTCCCTCTCTACAGAGAGAAGGTCTCAAAGTTTTAACGGTAGAAGAGAGCACCGTTTCCTTTCTAGTGTCGGAAGGGACGTGGATAAATTAACGTTTGGAACGTTTAGCTTTACTCCCTAGCTAGCATTCAAAATGCAGTCGAACACCCCTCTGGGAATTTCACACTCAGCTGAGAAAGTGGTTGTGTCCGAATTTGTTAGTGCATGCAGTTCTTGAGGCTCACCAGTGCTTTCCTTCTGCCTTTGTATTGCTCCTGAGTAGCAGAATAACTTGGTAAACCGTTCAATCACGTGTATGCTCCTTGAAACTGGTGCCGTTGTATTAAAAATGCTACTGGAACCTGGGAAGAGATTGATTTTGTTGTACAAGTAAGTATGCTTATAGCAGCTTGCTGCAAGTAGCTTGCTAAAATGCTGCTGCCTCCATTTCCAGTTGCTTTACAAGAACCAATAAAGAGCACTTCTTTGTACAGACAGTAAGAGTGAAATCAGTATGTAAGGATTCTTCCTCTTAGTTACAAACAACTGAGCTTTGCAGGCTGGGGGGATATTTTGAGGATTGAAGTAGTTTTTGTTTTGTGTTTTCTTGCTCGGGGGACGGGGACGGACTGACGACAATGACATTATCAATAGATTTATCATGGAGCCGATAGATGGTCTCATCTAGTCTGTCCTGCAAAGCTGAGATGTCGGAGTTGTGTGGAAACCCTTGATGTCATTGTTTCTGTGACTGGCACCCGCCCACAGGCTGTAGTATTTTAGATTCCCAGGATGTGTTTTAGACTGATGAGAAGTTAGTTTGTGGGTGGCAGGTCAATAGGTTTCCCTTTTTAATGTCTGTAGAATCCGGTCTGGCATAGGCTAAGGTTTGATCTGTCCATTAAGTTTTTCTGCTGTCAGTGTGAGGCTTGTGAATACCTGCTTTGAATGCTTTATGGGCAAACTGAACCTCTGTTGAAATTCAAAATCTTATTTTCTGGAGAAATTAAATCTCTGAATCCTTTTTTTATTCGTGTCTCAGCAGCTATCATACAGTGTATCCAAGTTTCACTTGAAGCATTAATGCTGCAGTTCTGCTGAGAGCAAAGGGTGAAATGAAATGAAGAGTTTTCCTAAGAGTTTAAAAATAAAGTAACAAAATACTGCATGAAGATACAAAGAAAAGCAGAGATCTAGTAATCTCTCCTTACACGAAAGTATAAGAAATTGGTTTAAAGTAGCTGTGGGCTAATACTGCCTTGCCATCTGATGTATTTGTTTTCACTAGTAACATCACAAAACTTGCTTGTTCACCTCATATTTTAGTAATTGCACAGCTCCACCTCAGATATGAGGAGAAAAAGATGTAATGGCAAGAATGATGTGGTAAAAAACTGTGCATTGAAGTGTTCTGCCAACTGAGTTCTATTTGTTTAAAATTAATTCCCTCTGGATTGTTGTCCTTAGGCAAAGGTCTTGGTTTTTTGTTTGTGTCTACCTGATGCCCAGCACCAGTCTGCTTTGCCATGAAGAGTAATACTTACATAGTTGATTGCTGTTAGCATGGTTCTGCTGTATGTTTAATAGAGTTCGTAAAATGCTAAGCTGAAATTCAGCTCTGTGCTGCAGAAGTGCCGTTGGAGCTTTAGTCAGCCAAAGTAAGGCATTGCAATTCTGTTGTCTTCTGAGGACTTTGCTCTCATTTAGGTGGTGTAATTATGTCATGGTTAATTGGCAGGTTATTTTCATCCAGTCATTTCAGATTACTTCTCTCCAGGATAGTACTTTTAATGGTACATCAAGTTTGATAAGCAGGTAGCAAACCAAGAGATTCAAGCATAAGCCTCCTCCTGAGTAGCAGTGACTTCTTGACTGTCAGGCATGTGTGAGATGATCTGTTCTTAGAGGCCAAATGTACTCAGCTATGTAGCTGAACTTGAAATACCAAGTTCAGGGCTAGGAAACTGAAGCCTTGCTTGTGAAGAGATTAGCAATTAAACAGAAGATGTTTCAGAATTAAATATGATTGTGAAAATATAGCTAGGGTTTTTAGTAGTATTGTGTCACAGGACTGTGACTCCTTTGATGTGGCTGGTTAACAGCATTATGTTTATGAGCTTGGTCCTGTTTTACAGGCTTAGCTGAATAAAGGTACCTTGTACTTTTGTTAGTACAAAGACGTGAAACGCAAAGCTATGTGAGTTACTTGTTATACATGCTCAGCATAGCTTTTTATGTTAAACATTTCTGTCAAAGTCAAAGATAATTAAGTTCCCCTGAATTAAAAAAGTAAGAACCTTTTCTAACTCTTTTCATTGTTTTAACAAATACTTTGACAAATGATATTAAACTGGTGTTTTGTGTAGGACAGTGCATGGAAGGAGATACATGTTTTAAAAACTCTGGTTCTAAGGATGCTTTCTTAACTGAAGAAAATGCATGAAACCTGGAAGAATTGGGGTAGCTGCAGCATGAGATGGGTGCAGCAGTAATGAGCAATGCCTGGTATGGCTTTTAGAACTAACTCAGCCTTTAATGGAAGAGCTTTTTAGTGCTCTTTTGTGAGCACCTTCTTTGTAGTCTCAGATGTTAGTGGATGGATGCTGCTGATTCACTGGTATAGATGATGTGCTGTCTCCACCTAAGCAAAACTACAGTTGACTTTTATAGGAAGGCAGTGCAACTGCCTTAAAACTTGCTGAAGACTGCAGATTTCCAGCCGAGCTGTTTCCTCTTGTCATTAATTCAATACTATGGAAAATGGGTTATTTTGATTATTATTTCATGCTGTTATAATGTTATATGGCTTCTATGAAATATCCTGAATTTCTGCTTGAAGCAAATAGGCTGAAATACATTTTCTTTTAATTTTTCCTCTTCAGGCCTTTGCACAATTTGATGCTGAAGGAGATGGCACTGTAGATGTGGAGAATATGCTGGAGGCTCTCAAGAATTCTAGTGGAGCTAATCTTCAGGGGGAGCTTAGCCATGTAATCAGGCAACTGCAAGCTTGTTCCCTAGTTCCAGGTATGAGAACAGAGTGGCCAAACAGATGGTTCCCAAGTCCTGCCCTGTGTAAGGGATGTTGCTTCAATAAATTACTTTAATAGTGTTCTTGTCCTAATCTTATCAAAACCATACTCCAGGTCATTCTCGCTTCTCTAGTATCAAACAAGTGAAGTTGCTGTAACTTAAAAATTTCACATAGTTAGATCTAGCTAGCTTACTTTCATAAGTAACCAATATTTTCCTGTCTGTGTGACTGAGGATCTTCTTATCATTGTCTGCTTTATCTCGCAGACAGGAAACGGTTCTATGCAAAATGTTGGTGAGTGTCTAGCTAATGCAGTCTTGTACTTGGAGGAATAAGTCCTCTTCTGAGCCTGTTTCAGGTGATGAGTCATGGACTTTATTATTAATATATTGTTATTTGAAATCCTTCTGAAACATAAGTCATGTTTTAAGGTGGGTAGTTTGGAAAGCATCAGTGCCCAGAATTTGATTTCTGGGATAAGTATCAGTTACTGGCTTTCCTTCCAAGCTTTTGATGGTAAGTGGCTAAAGAGGATTTGCCTTAGAGGATCAGACAAGAAGTGCTAGAATTGGCGACAGGTAAGTCAGAGGGCAGTACTCATGGAGTACTGTTTTGTGCATCTAAATACACTATGATCCAGAGAATTGCTGTTAAGGAAATGAAATTTCTTACAAACTTGGTGGAAAACATTAGGCACCTCCTTAGGAAT